AAACCCTTCCCTACCATTTCTCTTCAAATCCTCCACACTTTCATTAGCAATCAGAATCTAATCAATTATTTTCTTCTCCTTAACAAAAGCCCCTTGATTTTGTGAGGTAATGGAGGGGAGAACAATTCTAATCCTTCGAGACAGCACCTTAGCAATGATCTTGTAGAGGCTATGTACCAAGCTAATTGGTCTAAAATCCTTAGGATGCAATGTCTCCGCTTTCTTTGGTATCAAAGTAATAAAGGTTGAGTTTAGACCTAGATTAATCACCCCCCTATCAAAAAATTTTAGGACTATGTGTGTTATTCCTGTCCATAGAGAAAATTGCATCCATTATTTCTTCACTATCAAATCTTCTTTCCAACCATCTTTGAGAATTCTCTAGAAGCTTAGGCCACTCCAATCCATTAATTTGAATTCTATCATTCAGAGGCTTCTTAAAAATTGATCTGAAAATGTTCCACAAAAGCTTGAGCAATCTCATTCTGTTGGCTAACACTCACCCTATTAACCTCCAACTTTGGCACTGAGTTCTTCTTTCTCCTCCCATTTGCTAGTGCATGAAAAAAATTTAGTGTTCCTGTCACCCTCCTTAATCCACTTGCTCCTTGACTTTTGTCTCCAACTGATTTCCTCTTTCAATAATAACTCCTCTAGTTCCTTCCTCAACCTCCATCTTTCATTTCTATCACTTTCCTCTAGCAAACTAGCCACTTCCTTTCCATCTAACATTGGTTTGGGAAACAAATGGTTGCTTTTGCTCCTTAATACTGCCAAACTGTTGTAAATTCCACTCTTAAGTTTTTCCTTTAAGCTCCTTCAACTTCCATTGAAACCTCATACCTTCCCAATGTACCCTTGGATTGCTCTCCTACCACCATATTTTAACTCTCTCACTGAAACCATCATTAACCACATATTCTCAAATCTGAATAGGGTTGAACCTCTACCCTCCAAATTTTCCTCAGAAATGGATATTGGCCAACGATATGAAGTTATTCTTGGCAAGGCTCTAAACACTAGACCTCTCCAATGCTCCTCTCAATCAACTGTGAATAAAAAATCTGTCCAGTTTAGAGCAAACTGGGTTGGCTTATAGGTTGGACCAGGTAAAGTTATTATGAGTCAAATGAAGTTCTTTCAGCCCGAAAGCATCAATAACCTGATTAAACTTCTCCACGCTTAAACTAATCTTCCGACTCTGATTGTTAGTCTCTTCCAAGAATTGTATCACGTTGAAATCCCACAGTCCCTTAATATCTTCCAATTCCTCCAAAAGTTATTTCTTTCCCTATACCCATTTGGCCCGTATACATTTGTCAACACCCACTCAAATCCATCTGAAATCTGCTTAAACTTAATCGAAACTGAAATTCCCAATCAGCTCCTCCATTCCAGTTACAATCTCAATATTCCACATAGTCAAGATACCACCTAAGCCTCTAACATTCCAGCTTACTATCCTCATTCCTAACCTCTGTAGTCAACCCAATCCCGAACCTCGCCTACCTGTTCCCCCTTACCCTTCCCTTTCTTTCACTAATTCTTTCACTAAACTCATTATCCCCTTCTACATCTTTTCTCAATCCCTCCACTTCGCTCAATTTTCTTTTCCTCCATTATTTTTCTTTAAATACACCTTCATATCATTAGGCTTTTGTACTTCACACACCAACTTTTCCACAAACTCCGTCACTGGATCATTCTGCCCATCCCCATCTCCATCTTCTCCCCCCCCCCCTTTCATTCTCGCCTCCTAAATTGGTCCCATGTTCATTATACTTAAACCTACCCTCTTCTACTTCACAGTAATTCCCTTCCTGTAATTCTTTCTCCTCAACTCCCCTTGATCATCTCCCAAATTTTCCTACCCCCACCTTGTGCTTCGAAAAATTTTGAGGAAACTCCATTTAAGAGGACCGAGAAGGAAACCAAGGATAACATTCAGCTTCTCCATCTCTCCCCAAAACCCATAAGGCTTTGAACCTCCTTCAAAAAACCCCACTCTCCTTATAATATTTGTATTATTTGAAAGAGAATAACTTATTTGTATTCTTGTATTTTCAGTAATCATTTTATTATGTAAGACTATTGATTTGTTCTATTAAGCAACTGGAAAAAAAAAATAAGAATGGTTTTCATACAAGGAAAGAAATTGCAACTACTATGTAGATTAGCCATGTTTTTCCTAACCAAGCACTTTTCTTAATGGACTCAATGTTTTAAAAGTGCAAGGCGAGGCATGAGCCTTTTTGAATCAATGCGCAAAAATACAAAAAAGCCAAAAAAATGAGAAAAATGTTAGAAAATTCTAAAAATAAGCCAAAAAATCAAATAAATGCAAAAAAATAAAAGTATATATTAAACATAAAATTAATAAAAGATATAAACTTAAATTTTAAAATAAATGTTTTAAAAAAACCTATTATCTAAAATTAAGATACAAAAACATAACATGTAAAGCATATTCAAATGAAAATTTAAAAATAAAATCAAACATATAAAACATTTTCAAGCATGTAAAACCCACAATCTCTTCTTTTCCTCAATTGCATTACTTCAAGTAACTAATGTGATGTAAAACATATTGCATTCCTGATTCTATGAACCGCCTTTCTACCAAACCCCTTGAGGCAAGCCCAAACAAGTCCATGTTAGGATCTTAAATTCTTAATCTTACACAAAAAATAATGACTTTATAATTACCTTTTAAGAAGATATTTTATAAGGATGAATGAATGAACAACATTAGCAAATAGGGGGTTCTCAGAGCTTCAATGAGCGAGCAAAGCGAGCGAATTTTTAAAAATTTAAAAAGCATAAAATGTTAAAAAAGGCACACGTCTGGGCTGAGGCACAAGGAGCATCAGGCGCTCACCTACACTAAAGCACAAGGCACATCAGGCGTGCGCCTTTTGAAAGTGCTGTGCCTAGGACTTAGGCGAGGTGCATACCCTAAAATGTGCCTCGCCTATGCGCGTAAGTGCACCTTTTAAATCACTGAATGGACTTGGCATATGTTTGTGAGTTTGTGCTAAAATAAAATATATAGAACAATACTTTAAAATAATGAAAAGTTTCTAAAAAGCAAGCCAACTCATATTCCATATAGATCAGCAAACCAATATGACTGATTTTTTCATCATAATTCTTTGAAGGAACACATAAACCTTTAAATAATAAGTAAATAGTATTTTTTTTATAAATGTAAATAATGTTTTTGTTTGGATAGATAACAGGTAGCATTTCATTAACATAAACAAGAATGTACAGTGAGTTAAAACAGGGTATGAGTACCTAAAGAGCAGTTAAAACAATTGAAACCAAAACAATCACACCCTAACAACTCCTTGCCCTAAAGAGCATGTAAAACAATTGCTCCTTAAAATTAATAAGAAAATATATAAATACTTATGGTAACTGGCTGACTTCACTAGAGATACTCATGAATAAAAGAAATGTTTGCTTTTGATATTTCTTCATGTTGGAGGACTTTAATCATGGTTAGGGATCATTCAACTTTATATAATAAGATCTTTAATCATTGTGCAAGCATTATAATTCTCAATAATTGCAATGTCCTATACTCCTATATTTCCTTCTTCAAAATTTCCCCTTCTCTTTTTGAGACCCAAGTGTGTTTTGATGCTTACTCTATCATTTACTTTTTTTAGTTTATTCTTGATTTCCAAAACCTATTTCCACTGTTTCTGTATTTAAAAATACCCCTTCTAAGTTCCACTGTAATCTTTGAGCAAAAAAAGTTATACTATAATCCTCTAAGACAGTTCCACTTCCATTAGGAGCCTGGTTTAAAGTATTGATACGATACTCCCAATACGGGACATATCGTATCTGTAACCATGGCCACGGGTACAAGATATGCCATGTCTGGGTACATATCCCATGAGTCGTGCGTGTTGTGTCAATATGCCTCTATATTGGGCCATACACCAATACAGCCCAATATGCACGAATACAAAAGCATAACGATGGCGAGTTTGACAAAACTGTATATTGACCACTTTTGGATTGTTTTTTATCTACAATAAAAATTGAACTTTTTTTTGATAATTTATAATAAAAATTATAACAATTGAACATTTTTTTTATAATTATAATGTTCAACTTTTATTGTATAATAAAAATTGAACATTATAATTATCAAAACTGAAATAAATAATTTAAGATTTATTTTCCCCAAAAATTTAATAAGAACTAAAAGTTATAAAGATAATTTATTTTATCTATCTTAAATGATTTATCTATTTTATTTTACATATAAATTATCTGTTAAAATGAAAACATATTTATAATTATAAAAACTGAAAATTGAAAAGAAATAAAAATAAAACTTGAAAATTATAATTATAAGAATTGAAAATTATAATTATAAAAACTGAAGTAAATAATTTAAGATTTAATTTTCCCCAAAAAATAATACAACTTGAAAATTATAAAAACAATTTATTTTATCTATCTTAAATGATTTATATGTTTTATTTTACAATTATATGTTAAAAATGAAGACACATTTGTTATTTGAAAAAATAGGGTTATTATTTATATAAAAATACTAAATAAACAAAAATTCCCAAAATTTTAATAAAAATTCAAAATTACAAGTGATAATTATTGTATGATGTGTACATGTTTTAGAGTCCTGGTATTGTTGATTGCAATGTTTCTCTTCATATAACCTATTAAAGTGTGCATTTGTCATGTGTTTATACCCTACTCACAAATAATTCAGTTCTGGATTTAGTGTTAATAATGTATTTATGTGATTTATATGCATTTCCTAGTATATCCAAGTGTTTTGATATGTTTTGTCACATCTATGCATTTCAAAAGTGTATCAGTATCAGTATCCATATCTGAGTTGTTCGATACGATACGCGATATTGATACTTTGATCCTCCATCAGGAGAAGAGAAGTTTGCAAACAAACCCAAGTTCGAAAATTTGATTGGTCAAATAAGGATAACCAATAGACTGACCTGGAAGGACATGTCAAAGACATTCTTGTCCTGCCAACATTCCCTGGGACAGGACCCATGTCAATAACCTCAGCACGCCTATGAGATAAAGCTTCCATGACAAGCCCCACATGCTCTTCATTCACCTGAAATGTGTGCAACGAATGGAATTCTAAAATACAGACCAAAAAATGAATAAAAAAATAAGTATCCCATTCTTGCAACCATAGTTAGCAGGTGCCTAGGCGACACCTTGGTGATAAGGTGTTCTCTGAGGGTTGCCTTGCCCAAACACCTACATATTATATGTAAGACACCACACAATATTTTTATATTTTCATTTCATGTTATTAATAACAAGGTTCAAAGCATCAATATGTATCAGGTGTATCGTATCGTATTGGAAAGGTTCTGATACACTTGTTTAAAGGTGTTTTCAGGAACCCACTAATTTTATTTATTCAATAATATAAAAATAGTTATAAAAACGAAACTTTGAAAAAAACTAAGAATAAATAAAAAACACATGGTTTTAAAGCACCGATACACCCCTATCAATACTCAAAAGTGTATCAATACTTTGAACCATGATTAATAGTAGTACAATAGATATTATTAGACTAAATTATTCTTATACTAGTTTTTTTGTTATTTTCTTATTTGTTTGAGTTCAATCGACACAGAAGACAGTAATATAGTCTTGAATCCTTTAGGACTTCAAAACTTGAATTGATAAGTAAGAAATAACTTGAAGATTTTATCTATTGTACTACTATTATGATTTTGAAGAGTAAAGAATAAATTCCATTCAAAAGTAAATAGAATTGCAAGCTAATGGGTGTCAAGATGACAAATCAAAAGAGCAAATCAAGATGAAAAAGATTCACATTACAAGCTTGAAATTCAAGAATATCCCAAAAGCTTCCCACCAGATCTGAACTGCTAACTTGCTCAAATTCTGGAAGAAACAAAACCCAGTCCGTTACAAGCTTTTCCAACTGAAGCAACTATTACCTCAGTGCACTTTGACTTGTTCTCAAACAACCTTTTACCTTTCATTCCATATTGTCCAACATACTGCAAAGGGAATGCAGCTCCAAATGATTCTAGCTTTCTTACTGCCTTTGAATCTTGGCCAAGAGGAAAAAATTTCTGCTGGTGAAGTAGGCTGGAAGACCCAAACACCATATAAGAATGAGTAGAATTCCAGATGAAATTTTCCACTTTGCAAGAAAACAATAAGTGACAAACAATCTCATCCAAATTACACAAGTAACAATTATTAGCCATACTAAAGCCTCTGTTCTTCAAATGATCTGTAGTTAGGATGCTGTCCAAAGCTACCAGTCATGCAAACACTTCCACTTGTGGGGGAACCAGATTCCCCCACACACCTCCTTGCTAGCTGCCATATCATCTCTGATCGAATCCAAGTAAAAGGACTTCACCAAGAACTTTCCATCCCTGCACTCCCTCCACCACAGTCCTTCCTTGAAAAATGTTGAGATTCTGGACTGTTTTAGTCTATCCAACAGCATGATACACTCCTCCACTTCTTGATCCAACAAAGGCCTTCTGAATTTAGGGCACCAAACCACCTGCTCACCTCTTAGCTCATAGCATTGCTCAATCTTAATTTGTTGTTCAGCCAAACCTGTACAGCCTTGGGCATGGATCACACAGTTTCCTAACTCAGCTCTATTCATCCTCCCAAAATCTCACTCTAGCTCCATCTCCCACATTGAATCTAACCAAGCCTTTGAACTCCTAGTTGAACTTCATAATACCTTTCCAAACACTCACCCCGTAAGAGCTTGACACCTCTCTCAGTTCCCACCCAAACCTCACCACCCCATATTTCCCTACCACCACTCTCCTCCATAAGGACTAAACCTCCAAAGCCATTTACACGAGAACTTTATTGAAAGTTTTTATTCTTCTAAACCCCAGCCTCCCATTTTCCTTTGGCCTGCATACCTTTTTCCCACTTAACTAAATGAAACTTCTTAGTTCCCCTTGCCCCTTCCCAAAGAAAGTCCCTCTGAATCTTCTCTATCTTGCTGGCCACTTCTGTTGGAGCTTTCAATAATGAAAGATAATAAGTAGGTAAGATTGACAGCACACTCCTAATAAGAGTAATTTTACCTCCCAGTGAGAGGTACTTTGCCTTCCACCTTTCCAGCCTCTTCTCAGCTCTCTACAAGAGGCCTCCAAATGCTAACTGAGGCTGATTTGGCACCAACCGGGAGAACCAAATAGGGGAAAGGTAGCTCCCCAATCTGACACTCCAAGGCTGCTGTAAGCTGTTCCATATTCCAATCATGAGACTTCTTGCCAAATCACTTTCATCCCCGACAACATCTCAAAGTTAGCCAAAAAGATGAGTGTATTATTGGCATACTGTAAAAGAGAGATAATATGGTCCATCTATCCCCACTTTAAAGCCTTCAACCTAGCCCAACTGAATTCCCTGTTCATAAGCAAATTCAGCACCTCCATAACCAGTACAAACAACAAAGAGAGGATTGGATCCCCTTGTCTCAGCCCTCTAGAAGCTTGGAACACACAAGAACAATCAATAGGATTTATTCTTTTTCCAATCTTCCTAGGACCAAAACTAGGACTCAACCCTTATGTTTTCTTTCCTTTCTTATTTTTCTTCTCATAAATATGTTGATTTTCTATCTTTTGATATGGGGTTCATACTTGTTTCATGAGTATAAGGGTAATTATTAGTTAAAGATCACTACTTATTACCATGAAACCTAGGGAACTACCCTATTATATTTTTTTTATTTTACCGCCTGGGAGACTAGGCAACATGGCACACCCCTATTGCCTATCTTCACCTTGGTGGCTTGAAAACTATGTTTGCAGTTGCATGGTTAGATATAGTACCTCAATTGTCACTTCTTCCAATGGTTCAAGCTTCTCCCTATTCTCAGTTTTATACCTGAAAAGGCAGTGGAAATTTTATTCATTTAAGCTGTAAATGGAAATCTACCTAACATTAGAGATCAAATGATGAAACAAAATCAGATATCTAAAGGCACATTTAAATTTAAGTGTTAAGAGATTGTAAACATCTTAAAGATGGAAACTTTAAATATTTAACCATAACCCATGGTGCTTTGCTAAATCATACAAGAAAATGCAAAACAAATAGTATAAAAAATATAATGTTAAATCTCAAAGAATTGGAAACCTTGACAAGATCTGCAATGGCGAGTTCATAGGTCAAAGATAAGATAACCCTAACGCCTAACAGTTAAATTTCAAGTTCAGTTGACACTTGACAACTCTACAGGAAAATTTTGGAGAAGGCAAATATGCCATAGACATTTTCAAGAACACTTAAAAAAAAATGCATGCAATAGTAGATTTCACAAAAGCTACAAGCTATCCAGATTTGTCAGAAACGGTTGGCAGTTGAATAATCATTCCCTTTTCAAGCACTACTAAATTATTTTGAAATCTATAGCATAAGTTTCTGAAAGCAAAAAAGAAAAAGAATAGAAAAAGAAAAAAATACCAACAAACAAGTGCTTCTTTAGTTGCTTCTAGGTAAGCTTTCCAAGCAGCTACTTTTGTACCGGGGAGGCAGATGCTTGATTCTGTTCTTATTGCAAATGAGCTGATTCACTCAAGAAGAAAAGAGGGCTCCCCTGGTTTGATTTGCAAACTGGACATTGAAAAAGCATATGATCATGTCAACAGGAGGTGTATTGATTTGGTGTTGCAGCATCTGAAGTTTGGGCAGAAATGGAGAAACTGGATAAAAGTCTGTGTATCCACTTCCAAATTATCAGTGTTGGTTAAAGTCAGCAGGGTTTTTTGATAGCTCTAGGGGATTAAGACAAGGTGATCCCTTGTCCCCCTTGCTTTTTATTTGTGTCATGGAGATTCTCACTTTGTTTTGTAAAAAGGCTGCAGAATCTGGCGAGTGGGATGGTTTTGCATTCTCTCCTGAAGGAGAAAGGATTGATACCCTCCAATTTGCAGATGATACTTCATGCTTTGTGGATGCTTCTCCGTCCCAGTTAGATCTTCTCCTTGGAATCCTATCATGGTTTGAGGTAATCTCCAGACTGAAAGTCAACTGGAATAAAAGTCAAATCACTCCAGTGGGTCATGTATCAAACTTAGCTCATTGTGCGGAGGTTCTGGCTTGTCAGACTGAATTCCTCCCGGTGGAATATTTGAGACTGCCTTTGGGTGCAAATTGTCCTGCCCCATCAATTTGGGACCCAGTTATTGAAAGAATGGAAAGGAAGTTGGCTGCATGGAAGGCTAGATATCTCTCATTTGAGGGTAGGGTTATTCTGATAAAAAGCACTCTTTCCAATTTACCTACTTACTTTCGTTCTCTCTTCCCCATCCCCAACAAAGTTGCCAAAAGATTGGAGCAGATCCAGAGAAATTTTCTTTGGAGGGGTTGGGAGGAGGAGAGAAAAATACATCTTGTAAGCTGGGATCAAGTTTGTCTTCCTAAGGCTGAAGGTGGGTTAGGCATTAGGAAAGTGAAGAATTTCAATTCTGCCTGCTAAGTAAGTGGATTTGAAGGTTCTCAGCTGAAAGGGAGGCTTGGTGGAGATCTCTCATTGCAGGTAAATATGGGGTGGAGTGGGTAACTGGAGATCCAGGGATCCTCCCCTAAGTTGGGGTAGTTCCCCTTGGAAATCTATCATGAAAAACTTCTCTGTGTTCATGGAAGGGATTTCTGTCAAGATTGGTAATGGGGATAGAACAAAGTTCTGGAAGGACCCTTGGTGTTTGGATGGGACTCTAGTCTCTAGCTGAATCTTTTCCTCATCTTTTTCAGTGTTCTTTTAACCAAGAAGCTTCTGTGGCCGAGTACTGCTGTGTGACAGGTGGGTCTCTAACTTGGACTCCCATTTTTAGGAGGGATCTGTTTGATTGGAAATTAGAAGAGATTGTGGGTCTGATGGCACTTCTTCAAAATCAGAAGATTGATTAGCAGTTGGAAGACAAATGGAGTTGGAAATGGAATTCCAATGGTGAATTTTCTGTCAAGTCCCTTGCATCTAAAATGGGTAGTTTGGGTCCCACTGATTTTCCTGCTTCTCAGATCCGGAATACTATAAGTCCTTCAAAAGTCAACTTTCTGATTTGGACGATGGCCCTTGATAAATGTCTTTCCAGAGTTAATCTGGTGAGGAGGGGCATCCAGGTCATGGATCTTTCATGTAGTCTTTTTGGGCAACATGCTGAATCGACAGATCATTTATGTATTCATTGTCCATTTTCCTCTCAGATTTGGGGACACTTTCTCAGAGTCTTGGAGTTCAGTTGGGTAATGCCTAGATCGGTTAAGGATCTCCTCTGTTGTTGGAATGTGAGAGGCCTAAGCAAGAAAGGGAGCCTGGTGTGGAGGACTATTCCTGCTGCGGTCTTATGGTCCATTTGGGCTGGGAGGAATAGTAGAATTTTCAATAAGAAAGCTAAAATTCCCGAAGATATCATTCAGAGAGCTTTGGGCAAGCTGATTTCTTGGATATCTGTATCTGAGGAGTTCAAAAGTCTGAATTTGTCTTCTTTTTATTGCTCTGGTTTCTGGTGGAAAGTGTAACTGCTGTGGTTTTCAGGCTGCCCTTCTGGGTCAGAACCCAACTTGTATGTTTTTGAGCTGAATAAAATTACTTTACCTTTTCCAAAAAAAAAAAAAAAGCCTATCTTCTGGCTAATGAATTTAATGGTTGAGAACTAGACTAGTTAAAAAAGCTCCAATTGATTCAATTAGGAGCTATGGGCAGAATTTAAAGCTTAACTCCAAGCTTTGAAGTTGGCTAGATCGCTGAATGTTAGATATGTGGTAATAGAAGGAGATTCTCAGGTTGTAGTGGGGTGAATAAGTAAAAGTCAAGGGCCATGGTACCATTGACACACAGCACACACTTTAAGGGAAATCAGTCATATGATTATGGAACTGGGTGCTGTTTGTAATTGGGTTCCAAGTCCCAAGATTAGCAAATAGTTTTTTTTTATGAATAAAGAAAATTTTATTACTTCAAAAGATAATGGAGAACTCATACAACAACCCATGGAGAGGCATGAGCTGCAGCCCCTCTAAACTAGTTACAAAGGAACTTAAAGAAAAAGACAAGCATTATAGCTGGGCCCAAAACAAAACTTCCTTATTTGCCCCTTGCTTAGCTAAACCATCAGGCAAAGCATTTACTGTATCTCCCCAACCATTGTGTAGTAACATACATTCCTTGTCAGCCACTTAAATTTTTTGACTTCATTTCTGTAGCACCATATAGTTTTCTCAGGGTTCTTCAACCACCCCACCACCACCTTGGAATCCCCTTCAATAATAAGCTGCCCTACAACCAAATGATTTGCAAGTTGCACTCCTTGTATGGATGCTAATGGTTCTGCTCTGACCGAATCCCCAAATCCCAAGGGACCTGAACAGATAAGTACAATATCTCCAACCTCATTTCTCAAGACCCCCCCCCCATTAGAGCACCTTGCTACTGCTGACCAATCTCTCCATAAGTTTGAAAAGGAAAAGTGATGGAGAAGTTATAAAGTCTTTAGCCAGTGAATTCCCTATTCAACACACAATTCTTCAGATCTTGGCTGCTCCTCTCCTTGTCTTGAAAGATTCTGGCGTTCCTTTCTTCCCAAATTGTCCATAGAAGGATGCTCTAGCACATCTCCACATGATTCTCCCTCTTTTTTTTGGGCCAACTGAAGGTAGAAGGGTCGAAGATCATGCACACTTCTGCTGGCATGTTCCAACTGCACCCAAACAACAAAAAAAGCCAACCCCATAATTATGCAGAAAAAGGGCAAGACATCAATAGGTGGTGACAGTCCTCACGGACCTCACTGTGAGCTCTACAGAGAGTATACCAGTTGGGTGAAATGCAAAGGTCTTCTCTTTTGTAGGTTATCCTAAGTGTTCACTTTCCCATGATACACTTCCCAACAAAAAGCCATTATCATAGGGGGAACCAGCCTACACCAAATTTCCTTTGAAGGGAAAATGGGGAATAATTGTTAGGGGGGTTAGCACTTTGAAAGCACAAATAGAGTTTATTGTGAGGTTAAGCACCTAGTGATGGCTTAACATATTTGGGGCATACTGAACATTACTTATGTATCTATTCTTCTATCCATCTTAATAAAATTCAGTTACCAATCAAAAAAAATATTAATTGTATCTAAAAAGTTATGATAATGGGTAGCAAACAGATGAACCGAACTGATCAATAGGGAGGCTTTGTTTTGGGCTTTTTTGTAAGACTAATAGTGTTTTTGGCTTCTCCAACCATCCTTTGGGTGGTGACATTTGTACCCTTTATTTAACTTCATCAATGAAAGTAACCGTTTCCTATTACAAAAAAAACAAACAAACAAACAGATGAGCCAATATGAAGTGGTCAATTCAAATAACCAAAAAGCAGACAACTCCAACTTTCATATAGCACATCTATTGTGAATCCCAAAGACCTTGTCACTCAGATGATCTAAAGACAAAATGAGCAGGAGAGATATCCCTATCACCTCCTCCCAATTGCCCCCTTTCCAATACTAAACAGGAAATAGCATACCATCCTTTCCTGCATTGCTCAGTGAGCAGACTCATTTGGAACCATTTGCTAGACAACCAGCAACTGAATTGGATATCCCCTGGCATCATTCTTGGTTTCTTAAATAACTGGTACATTGAGGGTCTATCAAGCAATGGTAAGACTGTTTGGTGCAAGCTTCCTGCAGCTGTATTTTGGACTATTTGGATGGAGAGGATAGCAGAATTTTTAAAGGCAGAACATCTCAAATTGGTGAAACCATACACAACCTGTCAGGTAAAATCTTTTATTGGGCAAAAGTTTCCAATCTTGAACAGATATACTCGCTTTTTGTAAATACTTTTCTTATCAATAAGTGCATATCTTTTTTGTAATTACTTCATATACTGATATTTTGTGTACTCTCTGCTCATGTACAGCTTGTCACTGTAATGAGTTTACCCCTTCTATACAACCAATACAATATACTTTACTTTTTCTCATAAAAAAAAAATGGTCCACTTGGAGCACCATAATGCCAAATGAAGGCCTTAACAGTCAGCAACAACAAACTCAGTTTTCCCTTTGCTCCAGGAATATCAGAACATCCTCCATGCTATGAAGAAAAAATACCTTCACCTGCTGGTGCAAATAGATCACCTGCATTTTGGCCTATGATACCCAAATACTTGTACATGCTCAGAATACCCATGTATGACAGAATAAACATGCAATACAGCATCAGATGCTGCAAGCACATGTTATCTCTGTATATGAGAGATAAGGAGAGAGAAGTTCAAAATGCATGAGCACAGGGATGGATTTGCATGCATTGACTAATTAGTTACTAGCTTCATCAAAAAAGACTAATTAATTACTAGTAGTTGAACCAGAACATTTAAGACCAGATCTTGCCGAATTGTAATATCAAATCACTAGACACTAAATAGTTAGATCAAGTAGAATACTCCTATCAAAAAAAAATTAAACAAATCAAATTAGAACATTTCTCAATTAGCAAAGACAAAATATAGCCAGGTTATCATACACAACATACAAAAAAGATAAATGAATGGGATTTAAAAGAAAAAAGAAAGGAAAGAAAGAATATGAAATAATAAGAACATGCTTTTAAAAGATGCATAGAAAACTCAAAAATGCATTAGAAAACTCACATTACTTTAGGTGGCGAAACAGAAAGCTCAAACCCTTCACGCCTCATGTTCTCAATTAAAATTCCTGTGATTCAAAAAAAAATCCAGCTTCAGCATAAAACATAAAATACCTATGTAATTAATCGTTAGTACAAGCAAAGGAACAATACAAGCAAGCATATTAAGTAGTAGCTCATCACAACTTAAGTGATGAAACAATAAAACCCAAGTCAAAAGAACTAACCCAGTTGAAGTTCGCCTCTGCCTTGAACTTCATATGAATCTGACATGCCTGGAATCACATTTATAGCAAGATTTGTTTCTGCTTCTGCCATTAGCCGATCACCAATTTTCCCTCCAGTCAACTGTAAGTATATTGCCATTAGCAAATAATACATGAAAAAGTCTTATAAAAACAAATAAATAAAAGACAGATGATTAGTCAACAAAATACAAATATGTGTGCATATAGAAAGCAATCTGAACATATCATTAGTTAGTCTTATGCCTAGCTTCTAGGTTTATACAGTTTGATTTGATTTGTAATTTGTAACAACGTAGGGTTAGTTAAAAGGTTCAAGTGGAGACAGTTTTTGTAATAAAATTACTTTCTTTTTGCACTCCATTGGACAATCTGGACAAAGTGGAATAGCAGAAATTTTTAAGGGAAGAAGAGGGGAAGCTGTCATTGGTAAAACTGAAAAAATGCACTGAGCTTTGATCCTAAGTTTGCTGGTTTTAAACAGGACCACTTTATAAATCATACGTTAAAGAATCATATTCAATCAACAATATAAAAATCATCTTCTATGAGTATCTTCTGTTGTAAAAGGGCATACAATGTTTTAAAAGCGCAAGGGGCATTTCATGCCCAAGGCACACGCCTTTTTGAAGCAAGGCGCAAAAATGCAAAAATGCAAAAATGCTAAAAAATCAAAAAATACAAAAATGTTAAACATAATATTAATTAAAAATATAAACTTAAATTTTAAAATAAGTTTTAAAAAACCAATTTACTCAGATTAAAATACATAAACATAACATGTAAAACATATTTAAAATGAACATTTTAAAATAAAATCAAGCATAAAATATAAAACATATTCAAGCATGTAAAACAATCAATCTCCTTATTTTTTTTCCCAATTGCATTACTTTAAATAGCTAATGTGATGTTAAACATTACGCATTCCTGATTCTATGAGCCACCTTTGTACCAAGTCCCTTGAGGCAACCCAAATAAGTCCATATCAGAGTCTTAAATTCTTAATCCCTACTAAAAAAAAATAAAAGATTTTATAAATTTAACTAACTCCTTTTTCAAGGCTCTAGTTTCAGAAGATCAGAACACTCCCTTCCTGGTTAGGAACATTTGGAGATCACATGTTCCCCCTAGAGTTTCCTTCTTTGTCTGGAAAGCCTGCTTAAAGAAAATAAACACTTGTGACAATACAGAAAAAACTTAGAGGAAGGTTATGTATCTCCCCTCATGTTTGTCCTCTTTGCCATGGTGATGGTGAGACAGCTGATTACATTCTTCTCCACTGCCCTATCACAAGGAAGGTTTGGTGTTTCTTCCCAAACTTAGTTGGTTACAGCTGGGTTTTCCCTGAGAAGGTGGATGACCTCCTGTGGCAATGGAAAGGCAAAGGTCTAGGAAAAAAGGAAGGGTATATTGGAGTAGGGTGATGCATGCAGTCCTTTGGGATAGTTGGGAAGAAAGGAACAACAGAACCTTTGAAAACAAATTCAGAAATGTGGAAAATCTAATCTCCTACATAACTTTCCTCTGTAACCTTTGGGTGGTTAATTCTGAAGCTTTCAAAGGTCTGTCTCTAACTGACCTCCAAAGTAACCTTCCAGCCATCCTGCAGTCCTCTCCTAGATCTGAATCAACCATGAGAAGCCTTGTTGGGGAAGATGGTGGGATGACCCTAAACATTGACGGCAGTGCCCAAGGATCTACCGGCCAAGCAGGAATTGGTGGTGTCTTCCATGGGAAGAGGGGAATTAGCTGGGTTTATAGTGGTCCGATTGGGAGGGCTGATGCTACAAAAGCAGAGGTCTTGTCTGCACTTACAGGAATTCAGCTTGCTAAGCAGCTAGACTTTTTCTCCTTAACTATAAAAGGGGACTCTGCAAATACTATAGCCTGGCTAAGGGAGAAGGAAAGAGGGCCTTGGAGACTTGCACATCTGCTAGCTGAAGCACAGGATATCTTAGAGTTCATGAATGTAAATCTGGTCTGGATTCCTAGGGAGCAAAACACTGTTACAGACAGCCTTGCAAAATCAGGGTTTTTTAGGGAAAGCTTGTATAGTGACTTCTTCTTGCCTCTATAATTCTGCCTCAGCTGCTTTAGCTTTCAGTACATTCACTCATGTACTTCTTCCTGTTTTAAATCAATAAAAGTTACCTTTGCTCAAAAAAATAATTTTAATTGGCTTTGAATGTATGAGCAACACTAGCAAATAGGGGGGTCTCAGAGCCACTTGACATAAAAATCAGAAAAAAATAATGTGCAAATTTTCAAAAGGTTCACGCCTGGACTGAAGTGCAAGCCGCACCAGGCACACATTTGAAAGTGCTGCACCTGGGACCCAGGCGAGGTGCATACCCTAAAATGTGCATCACCTGTGCACCTAGGTGCACCTTTTAAATCACCTTTGTAAACAAGTATCTCTAAGTTTTTCTTGAGGTTTTTCCTCATGTAATCAATCCTTTGATTGAGTAGCTCCCTCCTTTAGTTCAATACAATTATCATTTATCCAGAAATAATAATAAAATTACTTTCCTAACTATGTTTACATATATGTAGAAAAGAACGATTTAAGTTCAATCCTTCTAGCTTCTTAATTAAAAGGAAATGTCTAAGGTTGAATGCCCTATACCCCTGTCCCTATTCTTCATAGAGCAGCTGCAATGATAATTATATGAGTTATTGGTTTATATTAAATAATTAAACATAATTACCTAAATACCTAATACAAATAAAACCATTAGCCAGGAAGCACGAAGAGTGAGATATAATATTCCTATTGGCTCAACCAAAAACATGCAGCAATCAATAAACTCTTCTGTTAAGAAATCTAGCCATCAACAAGCATATGACAATCAAATATGATAATTAAATACAATTAAGAGAAAGACAAAGCTCCTTCTTACATGGGTTCCATCACGCCCAGCCAATGGAGAGTCATTCACACCGAAAGTCATGGAAATGGTTGGGGGATCTAACTCAACAGTTGGGAGTGCAGTCATAACCTGAGACACGTGTAATAAGCAATTCAGATACATAACATAATGTAACACTTTTTTTCCAGCAATAGGACAATATGATGCTCGGAAATTTAAAAACTGCAAATAATTAGAGAACAGTTCAAAAATCCAAGTATTAATCTAGCTTAAGAAAAGAATTACAGAAAATACATGGGTCAATGCACAGAAGCTAAGAAAATTAGTTATCATAACAAAATGAAAGAGCTATGCAAATCAGTTCTCTACTGTAACACCACTGCCAACAAATGAGTTTGAGCCCATTTGGGCAAAGGACATGCATCTTTGCTGTATCTCTTTTATTGCACCATGGCTTTGTGTGTCTATGTTTTTTATTTTCATTTTATTACGTGGCTCTCTGTTAATGATCAAAAAAGGAAAAAAATAGAAGTAAATAAGTCAAAATAAATAAACATGCAAGTGTACATCCACCATGGCTGTGTTTGAATTGCTGCAGTGGATGCCAATCTAACTCCATAGAATTGAAATGACAACTCCCCCCAAACCATTTTGAATTGTGCTAGAAATTTGTGCTCAATCAAATTAACTCCACTGCAAAAATGGACCTAAACTACAATATCAGTGGCAGAAATGATACTTTCAATACCACACACCACAGTCAAATCCAACCCGAATCCAAAACCTCTTTCTTTTATAAATAAAGAAAACATTTGTCAAAATGAAACAATATAAAAAGTACATGGCAGACACCTTCAGGGAGCTACCAACTCAAGGAAAAATACACAATAAAACTTCTTTTATAAACATTTACACCTTTAAAAAGTAAACATTTACGCAATAGGACTAACTGAATTAATCTTGAACTTTGGGATATACCTAAACACCGAGGCTTTCACCTCTCTGACTAAGCCAAGATCTCCCCCCCCCCCCGACCCACCCACCCACCCACACTTTAGAAGGCCCTCAACACCTTAAAACAGGGATTCCTAATAGAAGACCCATTTTGAATTGAACCTAATTGCCCCAGTAGCTGGATTGCACAAGAGTGACCCCAACCAGAGCTCTTGCAGAATGGTAAACCAAGCAATCATGAGTTCTCAAAGAAACTTCAAGTCCAAAGACAGAATAATAAACATTACAGACACCTTTTAGCATTACATATCATCCAATTCCTTAAGAAAAGACCATAGCCAATGTTGGCCTCTGCTATCTGGGGACATAGAATTCATTTCCCTATTTATGTTTTAGTGGTAATCAACATGCTATTAGAAAGGAGAAGACAAGAGACCAAACAACCAGGCAAGTAACAATCCAATACAAAAACTAACCAATCAAGCCAGTGGCAATTGGATGACAAACCAAAATGATCTTGGAATATTTTATGCCGTAAAAATCAAATTAATTTGATTATGTTACAGCCAATGTTCCAAACCATGAAAAAAAAAAGTGGGCATGCAAATAGGAAGTATTAAAAAACAAAATGCAAAGAAATACCTCAACATTTGCCACTGTGTGACCAATTGATGGACTTGATAACCCAGCCATTGATATTATATCACCAGCTCCTGCGCTATCGACCAGAGAAATGTTTGTACCCTTCTTTTTCATAAGTTTCACAACCTACAAGGTAAGTATTCAAATTTAATGTAATACATACTAATACTGCCAGCTTTTAAATGTAAATACTTATTAAGAATGATATCAGTGGAGATGAACTGGATTATGGATGACATCAATAGCACAGGCAATAAGAAACATGACAGACCTTTCCTTCCTCAATCTTTTCAACACCAGAAGGGGTGTTACGAATACCATGCACTCGATCTCCAATGCGAATAACTCCCAAAGAGATACGTCCAGTCAATATTCGCCCAAGATAGAAGTCGCGTTCCATCATGGAGACCTACATGGGACTATTAAGCATCTTTTTCAAAGTTCCCAATATAAAAAGATAAAAAGGAAAATGTGCCAACACAGATAAAATATTCACAACATGTGAACAATTTGTACCCTAAACAGTTGGAAAAATATTTTATTTGATTCTCTCTAAACTGCTGAAAGTCTTTCATCCTGAGAGGACAATAATTAGTCCAAAAAGAATACTATAATTAAAAAGAATGTCTGTTCATTTATCAAAAGAAAAAAGAATGTCTGTTTACAATCTTTGTTTAATTAAGCATGCAAAAAATCTCCTCACACCCATAATATAATTAGAATGGACAAGCTACTAAAAAAACGTCATTATCCAATGTTGGTCCCCGCAATTTGGGGTCGTGGGAGGGGTGGCCCAGAATATGGTCCAGTAGAAAAGTTTGGACAACCTGTTTTGATATAAAAACTGTAAAAGAAAGAAGAAAAGAAAGAGAATAAAATGTTTCAGCTGAGAAAGAGAGAGAAGAGAATAGGAGAAGCTCAGAATTAGGTCTGGCCGCCCCTTTTCATTAGACTATATACTCATAAATAAAAGAGAGTACAAAGACAAAGTATACCCTTAGTAAGTCGGCTACTCGTGAGAACTCAAAAACACTCTTAACTTAAAACATAAACTAATGGGCCTAAGGCCCAATAACTCCCTAACTATTCTATGTAAATAAAAAACATGTTATATCAGCCCAAAACTCAACACTCCCCCTCAAGTTGGGAATATATGTCACACATTCCCAGCTTGTGTAGATCATGCTCCAGTTTGTTTCTTGCAACTCCTTTTGTAAGGACATCAGCAAGCTGCAATTCAGATGCAACATATGGCAAGCAAACTTCTCCGATGACATCCTTTCCCTTATAAAGTGTCTATCCACTTCTACATGCTTTATCCTATCATGCTGAACTGGGTTGTGGGCAATGTTAATTGCTGCCTGATTGTCACAATATAGCATCATAGGTTCTTCGGCCTCAACTCCAATCTCCCCTAACAAGGAACGGATCCAGAGGAGCTCTAAAACACCATGTGCCATGGCTTTGTACTCAGCTTCTGCACTTGACCTTGCCACAACTGTCTGTTTCTTACTCTTCCATGAAACTAAATTGCTTCTAACAAGAGTACAAACTCCTAATGAAGATCTCCTATCATCTAGGCACCCTACCCAATCAGCATCTATGTAAGCCTCTAACTTCAACTGTCCATGGTCAACAAACTATATGCCTCTACTTGGATGTCCGTTCAAATAGGAAAGTATCCTGTCAATAGCCTCCCAATGCTGAACTCATGGGGCATGCATGTATTGACTCACCACACTCACTACAATAAGAGATGCCTGGTCGTGTCATACATAAGTATAGCAATCGCCCCACTAACTTCTGATATCTTCCAACATCCTTCACTAGTTCACCCTCTGAAGCATTTATCCGGTGGTTCTGATCAATAGGTGTATCAGCTACCCTTGCCCCAAGTTTTCCCATCTCCTGTAGTGGATCTAGAACATACTTCCTCTGTGAGATGAAAATCACGTGCTTGGACCTTGCCACTTCAATGCCCATAAAGTACTTCAGCTCCCCAAGATCCTTAATCTCAAACTCTTTCTGTAGATTCTTCTTCAGGGTATAAATCTCACTCAAATCATTTCCTGCAACTATAATGTCATCCACATACACTATCAAAACTGACACCAATGACCCCCTCCTCTTCACAAAAAGAGTATGATCAGATTGAGTTTGAGTACAGCCAAATACAACCAATGCACTTCTAAACCTGTTAAACCAAGCTCTGGGTGACTCCTTTAAACCATATAGGGACTTCTTCAACCTGCATACCTTTCCTTTTTCCACATTATTGTAGAAGCCGGTTGGAAGGACCATATACACCACCTCCTGCAAGTCCCCATTGAGAAAGGCACTCTTCACATCAAGTTGGAAGAGTCACCAAGAGTATGTAGCTGCTAGTGATAGAAGAATCCGAACTGAACTCATCTTTGCAACTGGTGCAAAAGTTTCTAAGTAATCTATGCCATAAGTCTGAGCATATACCCTTTTGCAACCAGCCTCGCCTTATACCTTTCTATACTCCCATCAACCTTGTACTTCACTGTATAAAACCATCTGCATCCAACAGTCTCCTTGCCATTAGGCAAATCCACAATATCTCATGTCTGATTTTTAATCAATGCTTTCATTTCCACCTACATAGTTGTCTTCCACTCAGGTTTGGAGAGAGCCTCACTAACACTACTAGGCATAGACATAGAGTCAAGGGAGGAAGGCCTGGTAGGAAGGGGATAATCAACTGTAGGAAAGATAGTGTGAGATGCAATGAACAGTACACTTCCTCTTCCCTTTTCTGAGGGCAATAAGGAGATCAAGGTCATCTGCAATGGTGTTAGGAGCAGGGATAGTAGTATCAATAGGAACTAAACCATCAAGGGGAACAAGAGGCATACCTAGGTCTGTATCAGTCGAACCTAGAATCTCCAATGAGCCGATAGGAAGTGATGTGGGTTCCTCTACTGTGGAATCAACCTCCCTATTCTATCGTAGGTGATGTCGTGTAAAACACTAAGAGACTAGATGCAATGAAGGTAGCAAAGTGGGTGAGATAGGTAGGCCAGACACTGGAGTAGACAAAGGAGTTGGAACAGGAAGTGGTATAAGTTGTTCACTTCCTTCTCCAAAACACTCCCCTTGAGATGAATCCCCCAAGAAAAAATGTGTGGACTCAAAAAAAGTGGCATCCACAGTAACATACCGACTCCTAGAGATTGGATCATAACAACAATACCCCTTTTGATTTCATGCATACCCAAGGAAGACACACCTCTTCGCCTTAGGATCCAGCTTTGAGTGGTGAGGACCAAGAACATGGACAAAGCATACACATCCAAACACCTTTAGAGGAATATGGAATGTCTCCCCTCAGGAAAAAGAATGTTGAACGGAGTGCTATATCCAAGAACACGAGAAGGCACCCGATTAATCAAGAACACTACTGTAAGAACTGCATCACCCCAAAAACGAATTGGAACTATAGAGCTCAACATCATGCTTCTTGCTACTTCCATAATATGTTTGTCCTTCCTTTCTACTACACCATTTTGTTGTGGAGTGTATGTACAACTGCTCTGATGGAATACTCCATGCTCCAAAAGGTATGATGCCGGTTTTTTTCAAAGTATTCCCTGGCATTGTCTGATCTAAACACTTCCACTCGTACCCCAAACTGTGTCAATACCATCTGATGGAATTGTTGAACCAAAGGCGGTACCTCATCACGGGATCTCATCAAATATATCCAAGAGTACTAAGAATAATCATCCACAAACAGAAGAAAATACCAATAGCCACTCATAGAAGAAATATGGTATGGCCCCCACACATCAGTATGAACAATATCAAAAACAAAACAACATCTTTTATTATTTGCTTTAAAGGAATGTCTACAATGCTTTCCAAGTTGACAACCTTCACACTCCAAACTAGACAAACTAACAGACTCAAACAATTTGGGAAACAAAAAACGCAAAGAATAAAAAGACAAATGTCCTAACTGATTATGCCAAAGCATAATCTGACCCTCTGACTCTAACTCAATACTCCTACCAACATGATGACTCTGGTGACTAAGAAGTGCATCAAGAAAAAAGATTCCATTCACCTCACGACCACTCCCAATCATCCTCTTTGATTCCAAATCTTGCAAAACACAATGACCAGGGAAAAAATCATAGAACAATTCAAATTCATTGTCAAGCTACTAATAGATCAAAGATTAGTGTTCAGTCTAGGAAAATGAAGGACAGAAGGTAGGGTAATGGTATCAGTTTTCCTAATAGACCCTTTCCCAGCAATGGGAACATGCGATCCATCAGTTGTGGAAACTCTAGCTCTGCCACAGCATAGGTGGTATGAGGTGAAAATGGTGGAAAAGTTGGTCATATGTTCTGAGGCTCCTAAGTCTATAATCCAGGGAGGTCCCCCCTTACCTATAGTGGATAGATAATTTGCAGTAGCATGTGAACTACTTGTGTTTGCAAACAAGGTAAAATGACTACCTCCTGATCCACCTGTACCTTGTTGTCCACCTGATAATGAGTTGGAACTGGTTGTATCCTTCTAACTCAAAAACTGCCCATATCTCTCCAATTTGGCCCTCGCTGTAGCTGCTAGAATAGACTCTAGAGAGGCTATAGTAGGTGGCCCTGATAAATCACCAATCACTGCCATATTCACACTTCCCTTCTTATTTCTGAGTCGGCTCAGTGCAAGGTGTGAGTAAAGCTTCCAATAGGTATCTCTGGTATGTTTAGGTTTCTTACAGTAGTCATAGATCAGATCCCTTTTGTCCTCCTTCCTCGGTTCATTTCCACCCTTGTCCCCACTCAGCTTAGGCTTCACTATGCTAACCATAGCTGACTGCTCAAAGCCTGGGTTCCTCATCATCACATTCCTCCTACTCTCCTCTCCAAACACAAAGGCATATGCCTGAGAGAGAGTTACACTATCTCGGAAAAGAATATGTTGTCGTGAAATATTGTACTTAGGGTTAAGTCCAGCTAAAAACTCAAAATCCCTATTTTTCTCTACCAACTTCTGATAAGTTGTTGCATCTTTGCTCCTTTCCCAAACCACATTCTCCAAATGATCTATCTCTTGCCATAAGGTTTTGAGAGCTGAAAAATAAATAGCAATAGACTTATCTCCCTACCTAGTAGTAATCACCTGGTTTCTCAATTGATAGGCTCTAGCAACATTCTCATTCTGTGAATAGGTTTCTGCTACTCCATCCCAAATCTCCTTAGCTGTGTTAGCCCATAAAAAGTTCTTACTTATATGGGGCAACATGGAATTACATAGCCAAGTCATCACCATGTAGTTCTCCTGTACCCACCGAGAATTGTTAGTTTCAGGTTTCCTTTCCTCACTGATGACATACCCCAATTTCCTATGAGCACCAATGGCCATCTGTGCAAATTGTGACCATTCTAAATAGTTTATACCATCCAACTTGACTGTAGTGATGGTTCCAGCCCCGAAGAGGTCTCCAACACCTCCTCCCCCAAGTCCCATTTCTCTTGTAAATTTGTTTTCAACTCCACAACCTTCCATAACTCCCAAAATAGATTAGGAAGTCAATTTGAGATGAAAAGAAAGGTATTTATCTCCTTTAGAAACCTCAAACACCCTCCTAGAACCCTAGAAGCCCCTCCCTCCAAAGATTATTTTTTCTGTGGAATGGGAGAAGCTAAGAAAAATGGTCTGGTCGCCCCTTTCATTAGATTTTTTTTTTTTGACAAATCCCCTTTCATTAGATTATATACTCATAAACAAAAGAGAGTACAAAGATAAGTATGCCCTTAGCAAGTCGAATACTTGTGAGAACTTAAAACATAAATTAATGGGCCTAAGGCCCAATAACTCCCTAACTATGCTATGTAAATAAAAAACATGTTATATCAGCCCAAAACTCAACAGTTTGTCCTTGCTCATGCATTGATCATAGATTGGTCTAAGCCGACAACATTTTTTTGTTTTCTTTTTCTTTGCCCTGTTTACAATTACTGGTTCTATAGGGGATACATTTGTACTTTTGTATATGGCCACATAGTATCATTTTTCATTAAATACATGATACTTTATTTTCTCAAAAAAATGCACAGATCCATAAAGGGAAAGTGTTGAATTATCCATTTGTTCTTCTAGAGCAAGCCAACTATCATTTTTAACAGACAGTGGAAAAACAAAAATATGACAGTAGGGAAGAATAATGACAGAAACTTCTGAGGATGACCAAAACAACCTTGAAAATGCGCTTCTAGGAAGCTAATAGCAACAATGCCTCCATGATACATACTGAACCAGAGCCAGGATGGAGCATTTCAAGGATTTTTTCCAATGTTCTGAAAACCCAAGTGGACCGACCAGTTGAACCAGTTGGATCGTGACCCAACCCCTAGCCGGTCTAGATATACCCCCAAAACCGGTATGTAAAAAAAACACGAATAACCGGTCACCCAGCCAGTTCAACCAACGAACCGTAGAACTGGTCCCAGTTTTGTAAAACCAATCAGTTTTTTTCATTTTCACATTTAGTGCAAAAAGACAAAAAAAATGTCAAATTGGGCCAAACAGGCCCTTAAGTGCAACTGAATCCCAAGTTCCCAACCCAGCCAAAGAAAACCATTGATCTCTCCTCTACCTCTCTGTTCGTGATTTGTTCAAACCTGACTTAACACCACCACCAGTGCCTCCATCTCCGCCGACGCCATTACTGCCGCCACCGACAGGTACTCTCTCTCCTCCTCTTCCTCTTCCCGCACGTGGACTCTATTCATTGCACACGTCCCTCTCCCTCTAAATCCACCGGCCAGTTTCCTCTGATCGACTCTGTTCACCGCACTCCTCTCCCTCCAACTCTGCCAGCGGTTCCTCTCCTCCTCCCACTGATTTTTTTGAATTTTATTATATACATATATATATATATATATATTTATTACATCAGCACGGTTCGACCCCAGTCGGACCTCTGACCCATGAGGCCTTTGTCGGGTCAATGGCCGGTCCAGTTCTCTAAACAATGATTTTTTTTTATCAGCAACACAGAAAAGATTTCGTTGAATATAAAAAACCATGGTTACAACAAGAAGTTGTGAAAGAAACCCAGCTTTAGAAAGCTGACCCAAATCAAATTTACAATTGAGCCCAAAACAGATGTGTTCTTTGTACCCCTTGCTTAGCTAAGCTATCTGCCAAGCTGTGGGCAGTTCTTCTCACCCATCTCACTCGGATTGACATGTCCCTTGAGAGACATTTAAATCTCCCGAATTCATTCCTCAACTGCCATGTCACCCCTTCCCCCTTCTGCAACCATTTTATCACAGTTCTTGAGTCTCCCTCAATGATCAGTCTATTAATACCCAACTCTTTTGCCTCACTGCAGCCAGAAACTCTGACCTTGCCACATTACCATGTTCCACAGGACCAGAGTATAGAGCAATGATGTTTCCATCTTCATCTCTAATGGCCCCCCCATGCCTGAGGAGCCCGGATTACCCACACAACTCCCATCAAAGTTCAGCTTCTTCCAGCCATCTATTGGGGGAGACCATGTCTCAACAGATTTCTGTCTTGAAGTATTTCAATGATTGAACATCTAGAATCAAAACACAATTCTTTCCAAACACAAAGAGGTTTCGTCACAGCAATGATGGATTTGCAATCCCTCACTTTACATATGCTAGAACCCATCACTTATTTGGACCCTTCAACCCAGAAGCCTGTCAGGAATTAAAAAAAATAGCCCCACTACCTTTAAGAATCTTGAAATAATATAGATATCCTACCCCAATTCTTACTTTTCACTACAATCTTGCTACCTAACTGAATAGTCACTTTCCTACATCAGTCTATGCTGTCAAGAAGCTGAATACTTAGGTAGTTTTCTTTTCTTTTGAGAGAGAGAGAGAGAGAAGGTATTGGGCATCATCATCAAAATACACAAGCAAACAAATGTAGATCGTACAAAAGCTTCAAGCACTCATTAATTTAAGCATAAGAAACTTTCAAAGAGATTGTCTGTCTTCTAGCTGCACTACTTCAAGTAGCTAGTGTGATTTTAGATCGTTAGACATCTTGTGTTCCTAATTCTAAGAGATAAGGCCTTTTCTAGTAAATATCTCTTCAAGGCTCCTTGAAGAAAGTGCAAACAAGCCAATGCAATGGGTTTGGAGATAGCACCACCGACCTGAGTTTTTGGCCTGTGTATGTGAGGGGGTTGGTTGTATGATCTTACTTGCAGCTCATCTTATTCCAATGTTAAGGGTCAAGTTTAATTGTATTGTTATTGCTTCTTTAATGAAAATTTTGCTACATGAGATCCTATCCTCAAGGACTAGGGTTTCAGGTATTCAAAACTTCTTTGTTTTTTCTTTCTTTTAAAAGTTGATAGACCATTACTAGTGCATAAGCACCAATAAAGGGTAACTTAGATGTTAGAAGTTAATAAAACCATTACAAAGGTGTAAAACACATAAGAACGTGTTAAAAAAAGTAATCAAAAAGCAAAGTTATGAAAAGGTGCATGCCAGGGCCAAGGCACAAGGTGCCAAGCACACACCTTTTAAAAGGAGCTGCAGCTGGGTTGAAGGAAGGTGCATGTGTGCCTTAAAATGCACCTCACCTTTGTTGTGTCAATAACCAAAGTCCATGCAATTTAACATTAAAAAATAGAACCATTCTTTAGCATAATCCAAGAGCATTGTTATACCAACCAGCATTTGGAAAGGTGCTTCAAGACTTGCTGTTGGTGGAGGAACATGTTTTATAATGGCATCAAGCAATTCTGACATATTCTTGGCTTCATCAGGAGGATTTTTGGTGAAAGTGGAGGAAGCCCATCCTTCTTTAGCAGAAGCATAAAGAACTGGAAAATCTAGCTGTTCCTCTGCAAAATACAATATATAGATATTCAATTCAGCAATGGTCAACTGTAGAAAGCAAACTAAAATATGAAAGATATGCTAGGAACACAAGAATGGTAGTAGTTTTCTCAGTAGTAATAGGTCCCGCACCTGAAGCACCAAGATTTGCAAAAAGGTCAAACACCAGGCTTTCCACTTCATTGCATCTCTCTTCAGAAACTGCATAAATGAAGATCACAAAACTTACAGACCATCTAGGTAAGGATGTCAATGTTGTATCCAATATAGCATAGGAAATGAAGCAACTGCAATGTGCTTGTAAGCATACTTAAACACTCATCAGATCAAAAGGGGTAATAACAATGCATACACAGCAAAACATGTAGTACTACTGCATGGCTAGAAGGGGATCGTCTCTCAGCCTTATCCAGAAAGATTGAAGAACTTAAGTAGTTTAAGGTTTTTTTTTTTTTTGATCAGCAACGCAGAGAAAAGAATTTTATTAAAGAAATGATAGAGCAGATTACAACAAGAAATTGTGTAAAAAGTAGTCCAGGATAGGACAAGCCCCCCAAAAACTACAATTGTGCCTCTTGCTTAGCCAAATTGTCGGCCAAGCAACTTAATTAGTTTAAGTGTTGCCATTCCAAACACATATTGAAGTTAAAAGTGAAATTTTAATAGCATGATTAAGGCCCTTATATTATATAGAACATTCTGAAAAATCTAAAAATCTAGAACCAAACAAAGTTAATCAGATTGATTGGAATCCTTTTTATTGATAGCAGCATTATGTTAAATCAAAGGGGTATATAAAAAGTACACAAGGGCCTAGAAAGCCCCATAAAGAAGAGAAAAAGAATATAAGGGGCACCCCAGTGCACAAGGTTCCTACAAATGTGTGGTCTGGGGAGGGACAGATGTATGCAGCCTTGCCCCTGCAGATACACAAAGAGGCTGTTTCCAAGATTTGGACCCTGGTCACCCAGGTTGCAATGGAGCAAGCCAAACATTGTGCCAAGCAGCCCCCCCACAAATGTTGCAATGATTGGCACATACAACTTATTATTTAACATTTGATCTATAGGGTCATATACTGATGCTACAAAGAAGCATATTTTGTACTTTTTTTATCAGCAAGGAAAATTATCTTTATTAATAAGAGAGGAAACAAGATAAAGAATTACAATGTGTTGCTGGATATCAATGAAGCCCAAAAAAGACTACAATAATACCCAAAACAACTGCTGCCTATAGACCCCCTGCTTGGCTAATGTGTTAGCCATCCCATTTGCAGTTCTTCTGATCCAAGAAAAGGTGTTGTTGAGTTCCCTTGCCAGACTTTCTACTTCCCTCAAGGAATGTCTATGAGTCCAAGGAACATTACACCTTGTGGTAGTCCAAGAGATAACCAGTTTAGAGTCCTCTTCGACCTCCGAGTTTTGTAGGTTTGCTTGCTTAGCAAGTTTTAAACCTTGTAGCAACGCTAACAGCTCAGCCATTAATGAATCTCCTACCCTTAAAGAGCCTGAATACATTACCATCACTTTACTTGATGAATCTCTAAACACACCACCAATACCTGCCAATCCTGGGTTTCCTAAAGAGCTCCCATCAAAATTCAGCTTGATTTTATTACTAGCTGGGGACTTCCATTCCACGCTCTTATTATGTTAATCACTGAAAAGCTTTGGAAGAGCTCTAATGTTTTTATCCAATGTGCAACTTTTATCTTTATAGTTTCCACAACTTCTTCCTTTGACATGTGCTTCTCATTGAAGATTCTTGCATTTTTTTCCTCCCACACCATCTCCGCCCTTACTGGTTTCCACGTCACTCTTCCTCTTTTCGTTGGATGCCTTAAGAACTTTGGGCTAAAGAGACTACTACCTCTTGAGGAGTGATCCACCTGCACCCAAAGAGAGAGAAAAAAGCCTCCCAAACAAATAGCACAACAGGACAATAAAGCAGTGAATGGGGTAGGGATTCACTATTTGCAAAGCAAAGAAAGCACACATGAGAAGAGAGGCATTTGTTTGGCCTCCTTTTTTAAAGCTGTCACAAGTGTTCACCTTACCAAGAAAAACCTCCCAACACAACGCTTGAACTTTGGGTGAAATGGGCTTGCTCCAAATCTCTTTTACTAGGAAGTTCTCCCCCCTGAAGGAGGCTGCACAAGAATATTGAAGAAAGAAGCACAAGTGAAGATACCATCAGAAGTGACAGACCGAACTCTGGTGTCCTCCACAGTTTGAACCAAAAAAACTGACTGAAGTTTGTCTACCGGTTGAATAAGGGCCTCACATTCATTATCCCTCAACCCCCTCTTAAACCCAAAATCCCAGCTTTAAACCTGATGAAGAAAAGGTACCAAAATGCGAGATAAGTTGAAATTTATAATCCAACGTTGAATAAATGTCTGGGCTAAGAGAACTAAGGGGAGTTTCAATTAACCAAAGGTCTTCAAAAGAGTACCCTAGATCCACATCCCACATCAAACCTAGTAAGATTGATAAAAGTTGGGTATTGCTCTAACTTATTTTCCAAGTAGAGCTCAAAGTTGTGGAATTGGCCACTTTTGCATCCCAACCATTGTTCATCAGCCTGTGAATGCCTTCTATAACTTTATGCCACAGCCTGTCTCTTTCCAAAGGAAACCTCCAGAGCCACTTTCCTAACAAAGATGTGTTCCTATGAATTAGGTTCCATATTCCTAGTCCTCCCTTCTCCATTGTTTTGCTAACTTGTTCCCATTTTACTAGATGGTCCTTATCTTTCCATCCCAAGTTCCCAAAGAAAGTCCCTCATTAATTTCTCTAGCTGTCTAGCTATCCTAGCAGGGATCCTAAAGGTGGGTAGGAAATATATTGGTAGGTTACCCAAATTTGCCCTAATCAAGGTTATTCTCCCCCCTAAAGATAAGCATATTTTGTATCTTTGATCAAGAAAGATGAATAATAAGGAGTATATTTAGGTCTTACAAACTCTTTTTAGATTCAAGAAGCACACACTCACTCTGTTCAAAAGAATGGCCAAGGAAAACCAGGGTTAGAAGATTCTGAATAGACTGAGAATTTATGAGCACAGGCAAAACTAAAAAGTTTTAGCTTTTAGAGATATCCATCCTTTTAGACCTTCTAGCCAATAGTCTAGCTTATGAAAAAAGACTTGCTTTGGGTGTTTTTTTAAAGGCAACCTAGGAAAACTTTCTTGAGACCTAAATCCCCACTCTTTAGCTTCCTTGGGTTAGCGAAGCATTCATATCATCAAAGGGCTTTGAGGGATTCTTGGCAAGGGCAAGATCCTTGTCAGGTGTCATTCAACCACTTGTTCACTACACTCTAAGATCTGTCGATTTCAGAGCTAATAGACTAGCTAGGCAAGGGATTAAGAGATCTTCTTTGTACTGGGATAGTTGGTTTCTTCCATACCTTCCATACCGGCATAGGGACTGTGCATTATCCATTTTTGTATTTTTTTTATGTTTGTTTTACCCTGCTTCTAGGGATGCAAATTAGTTACCAAACTTGAAGAATTTAGATAGCATCAGGCCCAGGATCTCAGACTGGGCCCATTCAAGCCTTTGCAAATGTTCAACCTGAGTGCACCCAAGTTGCAGCCTACCTACTTCATTGGGCCTTTTCTTTTTTGTTCCTTCTTGTGACCCCCATTAACAATCAACACACAAAAAAGGAATAATCCCCAATTCACAACAACCAAAAATGTTCTTTATTCTAATTCCTAAGCCTAAAGACTTTGTATTGATCAAATAGCGCATTTTGACCAACTCAGATTTGTGACTTTAAAAACAAACTTATGTTTGCACATCTTCCAATCTATAGAAAGAACAATAAGCCACCCATGTCCCCCCCCCCAAAAAAAAAAGAAAAAAAAAAAGCAGAATGAACTTTATTTCTAAATTTATTGGCACAACTATTAGTTTGGGATGCCACACCAAACAACCATGAGTTTTTTTTTCCTCTCTTCCCATTCCTAAACCCAATGACTCTCTCTTGATCAAGTTAACGGATCTAACCAACTCATTTTTTAAAACTTTGAAGACAAATCAAGACTCCAAACCAGTATAGCCCATTTACTGAGTCTAGAAAGAGTGACAAGCCATTGCCTCCTCCAAAAGAATGCACTTTATTGATGAAATCATTGACCCAATAATTGATTTGAGAGAACCACCTATGATAAGGTTTTATTCAGTTTACAATTTACATCCCCTTGGTCAAAGCAGGGGGATTGAGACTATTGAGGAGGACTTAGACTGAGCAATCATAGACCAGTACCCTCTCTTTTTCCTCTAATATGAAAGTAAACAGAAAATGTTTCTTCACAATAGAGAGAGAGAGCAGCAGCAGCACCACCACCACCACCAGACTAGCCAATGAACAAGAGACAAGTTACCGTACATCATTTCTATAAGGAAACAGTGCATCTTTTTGATCAATAACAGATAAAAATCTCCTAGGCAACTAAGCGCTCCACTATCACAGTGTCACCTAGCTTTGCCTTGGCACCTTGACAACTATGAACACCACATCAACTGCAAATACCATGCAGCTTGGCCAATAGTTGCAACCTTAACTATTTTAGCCATTTCAACATATTAATTCATACCAAATAAAAGGAAAACAAACAATACGAATAAAAATATAAAAGTAAGATAACAAAATAAAAATGAAAAAGCAAGGTGCACCACAATGCACAACCAAAATAGACAAAGTCCCATTTAAAACATATATATCATCTATATACATAAATAAAGAAGTCATACCTGCAGGCCTGTCTACTTTGTTTAAGAGGAGTATAGGGCGTAATCCATATTTTAGAGCTTTTGCAAGGACAAATTTTGTCTGCGCAAGGGGACCTTCACCAGCATCTACAACTAAAATTGCTCCTTCAACCATGCCAACTACCCTCTCAACCTGCATATGCATCAAAATGTTTCCCAAGATAGATAGATAGATATAGAAACAAATTCAGATTATTGACCATATAAAGTTGATCCAACAGAAAGAAACTTGCAAACTTCAAATAGAAAACACACTTCACCGCCAAAATCTGCATGTCCTGGGGTATCAACCATATTCAACTCACTCCCCTTCCATGAGATGGATGTAACCTGCAAATAATGAGCAACAAGAGGAACAATCAAGATCTAATGTAGAAAATGGAACTTAGGCTCCATTTGGTTGCATGTAAAATGAAGGAAAGTGAATGATTTCGTGGAAATTGCTATTTTACAGTGTTTAGTTGCACATAAAATTGCTGTAGAAAATGAATTTTTTCCAAAATGTAAGTATCCTTTTTCGAAATGGAATTCCTTCTAATTTTTCTAAAGTCACTTTCCAAACAGAAGTTGGTCGTTTTGATTCACATCATGCGACACTTATATTTTTCTCAACCATTCATCAAACTCAGCTTGAAAAATAAATCAATAGAGTAAGTTCCAATTAAGAGAAATATGTCTTGCCTATTCAGATACAATACAAATCCAATCATCGCTACATAGGAATCCCAATTGTGTTTATATGGAAATAACAATACATGATATAAGAACCGAAACCAAATCATACTAGCAACAAATCACCAACTTCAGAGAGAAATGATCTAGTTGCGTGGTACAATACAATTACACCATGGAAGCCTACAGAATGTAAGATGGTGTGGTTTACCAGAAAATAACTTCATCAACCCCTTCATCCTTTTGGTAAGTTAATATTGTATTGAAATTTATAGTGTCAACCACAGGGCTATCCCTGCACAAAATTTCTACTCTATCCTCCTTCTGAAGTTTAGCTCAAACAGGAATCAAGTTTACATTTTTCAAGGTTTACAATCATATGTTAAGGAGGGGAGAAGGAAGAAAGACTAGAAAATAGATAACTAATTACACAATCAATAAAAGGGTGTATAAAACCTTAGAAGCAATGGTGATGCCACGCTCACGCTCGAGGGTGATAGAATCAAGGGCACGCTCGTGGGGGATGTCGGCGCCGCACTGCCTGAGAAGCCTGTCCATAAGGGTAGTCTTGCCATGGTCGACGTGGGCAATCACAGCCACGTTCCGGAGTCGACTTGGGTCCAATGGACTGCCGGGGGCGGCGGCGGGGGCAGGAGCAGGGGCGGCGGAGAAGCCGCGTGATAGACCGGGAACGCGAGTGAAGAGAGAGATTCTGAGCTTGCTGTGTCGACTGGCATAGTAGGATGAAGAAGAGAGAAAGCTTCGACTGGTACACCATAGAGAGCGCAGCAAGGGACCGGCCATCTCCGTATGAAGAATGGCAGCAGTTGTTACCCTTGCTTCCCCCTGCTCTTCACTCTCTTCAGTCTTCCCGAAATATAATGGAGAAAGACAACTCATGGCCCTGGTCCATGTTGAACCGTTGAAGTGTTACTGGGCTTGGCCCTTGGGCTAATGGGCTCGTAGGTTTCAACTTTAGAGCTCAGGATTCCCGGTTAGTCCGCCGGGTTAAACGCTTGATAATGGTTCAAGTGGCTGAACTATGTGTTTGATTCCGTTTATGTTTTTTATTCAATGTTTGTACTTTATTTGCTTGCAAAACTAAGAAAGGTAATAATTACAACCGTTTATGACAATTAAGCGCTATTAGGCTCTGCATTAGTGTAACAGTGAAAAAATGCTCAACCGTTTATAGAAGCTTTAAAAAATAACTTCCCTAAACAGTAGACATGCACAAAAACTGAAGTCCATTTTGCCATTCTCGATGGGTACGAAAGAGAGAGAGAGAAAAATTGCTGCAGTGGCACCTATATGATTGACTGGTTGCATTGAATAAACGCCCACGAAACCAAATACCCTATAAATGACTGGTTGCATTATCTTTAAAATTTAGGGTAAATTAGAGAATGACACCTTATATTTGGATTTAGTGGTCAGTGTTTAAAAAATCGGATCAGATCGGCCGATTGAACTGGTTAACCCATGACCCGGGCCCTACCTCAGGTCAAATGATTCAAGCTCTAGAATGCGGTGAGATTGAGGTGATGTTTGGTACCGTTTACGTTTATTCAGTAAACGTTTATTGATGTTGCCATATAGGCGCCATCTCAACATTTTCTCTCTCTTGCTCTTCTGCATACATCGAAAATGTAAAAGTGAACTTTGGTTTATGTGCATGTCAGTCGTTTATAGAAGTTATTTTTTGAAGCTTCCACGAACGGCCAGGCATTTATTCACTATTATGCTGAAGTGGCGCCTAATGGCACCCAATTGTCATAAACGGTTGCAATTATTGCATTTCTTAATTTTACCAACAAATAAAGTACAAACATTTATTCAATAAAAATAAATGGTATCAAACACATACTGAGTCATTGACTTCTGCTCTAGAGTTTTAAAGTAAATGGGTAGTTGAAAGTGAACGAGTAGACTGCGGATCTAACTCCGATATGTAGAAATAGATCGTGGGTAGGAGATCTGGAGTGTTGTGGCTGTATTATCTTGTACATAGGGTGTGGACTGTGGAGCATGGGTTCAAAGTTTTAAACCTACTCAGCACCCTTTGGTTGTTTCATTGTCCCAAAAGTAGACGTACTCTCCATCTGCACTCACAGCCACAGGTTATTACAGTTCCAACTATCTCATGTATAATCTGTCCTGATATATGTGGTGCAAGGTTCAAAGTATCATATCGGGAGCACCCCGATATGCCCTTACAGAGGGTGTATCGGGGTTCTGACCGGTTGAAGGGTAAAGAAGCCTTAAACCGGCCCCTAAATGGGTTTTGAAAAAATAAAAATAAAAATAAAAAAATACCAATACGCCCTTACCAGCGTATTGAACATATCGATATTTAAAACCTTGATGTGGTGATATAGTATGCAAACCTCTATAAGACATTAAGGCTATAATATCGGCCCAAAAGGGGTTTCCAAATTGAATGGGTTAGGCAGCTCAGCCCGGCCTCAATATCCAAAGGTGCACTTTGTTCCAACCAAAGAGTGAGTCCTTGTAGTTTGAGGGTGGTAAGATAGCAGCTAGGGTGGGTTAGACACAGATTGAATCTAAAACAAACGAGGCCCAATACAGACTTGGCCCCCAACTGGAGGCCAGGCCGTGTTAAACCCAATCGCAACATGGGCCAGGTCTAGGCCTCAGTGGTTTGAGATTTACAGTTTTCTATTTTATATTTTTAGACAATATCTATGATGCTGAAAAGGTACGATACTTGGGCTACCTGACACCCCAACCCATGTCCATTCCAGATAGGGTCACATCCAATATTTCAGGTTCCGGCCCAATAGAAGGCCCATTAATTGAAGTTTCTCTTTTCCTACCACAGCCCACAAGGCATGACCGACCTCTCCCTAAGGCCACCACCAGTATGGTGAGAAAGTTGATGCACATATCAGGTTTGAGTTGTTTGGCTTGACCCTCACAACTCAACCCCGAATCATTTATTTATTTATTTTTTGGTCTTATAAATGGAATTTGTTATTGAAAGTGATATGATCTTACTAGGGGTGAAACTTGGACTGGCCCAACACAAACCCAGATTGACATAGCACATATTTTTGTAAGGGCTGGGCTTAGGTAGTCTAAGCCCGTCCAACTACACATATACATATGTTTTATTTTATTTTTTATTTGGGGAAAATAGGAAATCCATATACATAAGTTGTTACATAAATGCATATACATGCATGCTTATATGCAAATATACAAAGTTTCAGTTTGAAAGTTTAAATTAGTGTTGTTAAATAGGTACGTGCAACTTTTTAGTGTATTGGGCCTAATAGATTTGCTTGAGCTCGATAGACCACCCCGAGTGTGTCAATCTCAGTTTGAGCTTGGGCTGGGTTGAAAAGGTTGGGCTTGACCTTGGGCCTAGATCAGGCTCAGGCCTTAGACCCAATATATAGGATTAGGCCTAGGTTGACCTTAAACCCGGCCCAGTCCGCCCAACTTGCACCAGTAGTTCTTAGGTTCATTGTAGGAATGGCAAAGGGGTGGGTTTGGGGCGGGGATTATATTCCCCATCCCCGACCCCGATTATGAAATTAACCCCCGTCTCCATCCCCGATCCCCATTGGGATCAAATTTGTCCTCCATTCCCGATCCCCAATGGGGATGGGTTCCCAGTGAGGACCCGAATCCCCGAAATTTTTTAGATAACAGTATTATTTGAAAAATAAATTTACTTAAAATAAATAAAAATTTTAAATTATAAATGATTTTTTAAATATATTTTGATATATATATATAATATAAATAATATAACAATATATATTTAATATATATAATATAAATAATATAATAGTATATATACATAACCGGGGTTGGGGCGGAGCGGGGACCTCAATCCCCATCCCTGACCCCGACGCCGATCGGGGATTCCTATTAATCCTTGTCTCCATACCCGCCCCGCCAAAATAATCCCCATACCTGACCCCATCGAGTCGGGGAAGTTGGGTCCCCGTCGAGGATGGGTAAAATTTCCATCCCTAGTTCATGGAGACCTTATATTGACACTTTCTATTAAAGATTTAAGAATTGCCAAATTTAGCATTTTTTATTTGAAACACACGACTTACTACACTAGTGGTGTACTAATGTTTGAAGAACTCTTCTAAAGTTCTAACAAAGAAATATATATTAGAAGTAAGGTCATAAATCAAAACCCAACTCTAAGGATCTACCCAATTATGGGAGTGTCTCTATAGATATTTTTCTCTTCTTGTGATCCACCTATACCCACATTTAAAATCGATCCTTTGTTTGGCCTTCTTTTCGTTCTCACCATCCAATACCTTCTTCTGTGACATGCATCCATGCATTCCCTTTACACTGTATCAACAACACTCCAAGAAAAATCTATAAAAGGTATGCATTGTGCTTCATTGATCACTTTTTTTTTTCCTTTTTTGTTATTTTTTTGGGCAAATTTCTTAAACTACCCTTATGGTTTAGTTAATTGAATAACTCTACCCTTATTATTTACATATTGTCTTAAATTATCCTTACTATTTCTGGCAATTATCTAAAACCTTCATTGTCGTTAATTTTCCATCACGCTCCGTTCAAATATGACATCACATAACTAATACTTTTTTTAAATTCCTAAAATACCCTTCATGCATTTCTGGTTTATCTGACTCCTTCCCTTCTCATCCATACTCTTCAGCCTCATCTCAATTTCCAAGGGATAGTCGTCGAAAAGACTTTTCCAAAATTTTAACTTTTTTCAAAACTTCTCATATTGGACAACAACTTTTTGTTTTCGGCTTAGAATTTGAGTCAAGGTTCTATGTTGGCTCAAAAGTTGCTGAAATTGTGAAGGGAGGGAGAGGTATTTGGATAAAATTGGGGTTTCAAGGAGAAGAAGCGAAGAGTAAGCAATTCTAGCTAGGTCTAGGGTCCATGTTGGAGTTTGGTGGGGAGAAGAAGGAATGAGAACTAGGATTAGGGTTTAAGGCACCGAAGGCGGTGAAGAAGGGTTTTGGGTTGAAATTTCTGTCTCTTTCTCTCTCTCTCTCTCTCTCTCTCTGTTATCTAGTTTCATGATCTTGAAATTTCTGTTGGGTTTTGTAGAGAGAGGTTGACAACCTCGTTTCTCATATCGATTTGAGATGGTGTTTCTCCAAAGCTTTCGAACAAAAATAGGGGCGGATCTTGCGATGCTGCTAACCTGATCTCTAAGACTTCAAACCTTCCTTCCATCTTTCCATCTCTATGTCTCTTTGAATTTAAAGAACAAAGGAAGGTAAGTGAATTTAAAATAAAAGAAAAGATGGTTCATGAGATTCAGGTTTTGGTTTTGTACAAGGATGGAAGAATTCTTATGTGTTACCATAGTTGGGGCTACGGAGTTGGGTTCATCCAATACCACAATTGAAATTGAATGTCGGTTTTGCTTGGCATTGTCATTCGATTCTTATTTTGTTGCATCTAAGGCATTTTTTGACCAACCTCATCAAATCCCAACGGGAGTTCAACAACTGTTCTGAAAGTTGGGAGTTTCCTCCTTCTGGTAGATGTTTTAGTTGTTGCCAATATGCGTAAAATGGAGCTTGCCAATGTTGATTACATCAAGAAAGATCCAAGTGGTCAATATGTTCGAGTATTAATCCTTTCTCTCTCTCTCCCTATTTTTTTTCATGGTGTTAAAATTAAATATATGATATGATCAATTTTATCTGATTATATGTTAGAGTTGGGTTTCACCATAGACTTGATGGTCGTTTGAAACTTTATACTTCCACTCTCTCATAAGGGAGAAATCAAGCTCCCTACCTTAGCTGAAATCCTTTAAGTTCTTGAAATTGAATAGACTTTGTTTTAGACAGTGTATGCCCTTAGCTCCAATCAGAATGATGTACCTTATGACATTTAATGTAAATGAATAAAGTACATATTTGATTCATGTTATTATGGTGTGTTTCTGTGTAATACCATTAAACTGGACACATATGAGACTCGTGTTAGTTTAGAATGTTCACAGCCGTTGGATAGATCTGAGGAGATTTATCCTGATAAGGCTGACGCTGATGTGCCGCCAAGTTGGTTGGGGTAGCCTGTCTCAGCTGCCAAGGTGAGACTCGAGGTACATGCAGTGTAGGTTTACTTGAAACCTTGAACCGGATGAGAATTCGAGTATTGCCCTGGACCTTGGTGATTAGTGGGCAAAACTGGATTGTTACACCTGACCCCTAGACTCGATTATGATACTGCACTAGGTGTCGGATTGGGCTGTTTTTGATATGCCAATCAGTGAGATCCTTAGAGGGGGTTAAAACCTAGGTATGTTGGGACAGTTTGAGAATTCATTTGAGTGGGTGATCATAGTGATAGGATTAGCCCCTTTGCCGGACAAAGGTAATGATCGGGGGTGCACTCTCTCTGATGGAAACCAAAGCTGTCGGCAGCCGATTTTAATTGTTGAAATTTGTTTTTGCAAAATATATTTATATAAAGATATACATATATATTATGGTTTTAAAATGTTTGCAAAAGGTTTTAATTTCCGGGATCCATGTGAGTAAGAGTGCAACACTGTTCCTTGCAGCCGAGGGAGAGGTTCTCTTTTGTCGGGTAGTGTTTGATCATTATGGGCTGAGAGGTTAAGTGTAAGACCATTGAGGGTAGTACCTGATGGTCTAATCTTACATCTGCCCGCAATCCCTGGGTTTTTATAAAGTGGCTTGGCCCAGGGACCACTTAGTGTAAGTGTTGGACCCATTAAGAGACCATGGTGATGGGCTCAGGGGTTCACTATCCCTAATAGTGAATTCGGTTAGGCCTTGTAACAGAGTGGCTTGGCCCAGGGACCACTTAGTGTAAGTGTTGGACCCATTAAGAGACCATGGTGATGGGCTCAGGGGTTCACTATCCCTAATAGTGAATTCGGTTAGGCCTTGTAACAGAGTCTAGGCTGAACCCATGTGGGTGATGTGTAGATCAATGTTTGGGTCCCACACCATACAAGAAAATCCAACTGGGCAACAGTCTGTAAGGTTAGTGAGCACATGGACTTAATGGGCCTAAAGCCCAATTCGAACTGGTCTAATTTGATTAGTTAAAGAAGGGGGCAGATCTGGGATTTGGATCAATAGATAGGATAGGGAGTTATCCCTATCCACTCAGAGAGTCAGATCCAAATAAAGATTTGGATCAAGAAGTTCCTAATGAGATTAGGAGGGCTGATCTAATATGCAGATAAGATAAGGGCTTATCCTTATCTCTTAAAGAGAGTCCAGACTCAAATAGGGATTTGAATCAAGAAACTCCTAATGGGATTAGGAGCTGGTCTCTTTAAGGCTATAAAAGGAGGAGGAGGGCGAACCTCCATTCATCTCAACACAACTGATCTTAGATCACAGAAAGAGAGAAAACAACTACAGTAAGACTACGCCATCTTCTGCTCTTGCGCCCTCCTCCTACTACCGCCATTGTCAATTCGATCTCCACTGTAGGAGCGATCAAGAAGTGTTCTTGATATCAATTTTTGGAGAAAAACTGATATGAAGTTGTGCTCACATTACCTCCATCGAATTCTTGCTGAAGGATTCAGTTCTTGTGAAGAACCTACTGATTCTGCTCCACCCTACGTTGTGCCATCTTCAGTGAGAGCAATTTTTGGAGTTTTTCCTTGGGTGCGAACACCTTCATTGGGAGATTTTGTTTCTTCGTATCAGGTACCTCCCTCTCCTACCTTTTGGTTTCAGATCGGGTTCGGTTCTTGGTTCAAAATTGATCATTGAAAATGCAGATTTTCTAAAATAGGGAATGTGATTCCCAACATGGGAGAGAGAAATTTTTGAAATTTCGCCCACCTACCTGCAGGGTTCGGCTATCCATATGATGGATCTCTCATCCCTTCACTTTGAAACTTGCATTTTCCTCTCTTCTCATTTCTATCTGTTTCTTTGTCATTTTATCTTTACTAATTTACCTGCTTAGGTACAGTTTTTAGGAGGTGGGGCCAAAATAGTGAAGGGAAGATGGAAGGGAAGAGGGGAGGGCAAAATTTTCATCAGTTGGGTTTTATTTTAAAAATTTGATGTATAATGAAGGACGGATTTGACATTTCTCTTATTTTTTTTAGCACTTAATGACGATATCAATTGTTAGAAACAATAGGGTATTTTAAGACAATATGTAAATAATAAGGGTAGAGTTAGTCAATTAGCTAAACTATAAGGATAGTTTAAGAAATTTGCCCTTTTTTTTACTTCAACATGTTTATGTTGGATTTGAACGAGTTTCTCAATCTTTTACAATGAAACAAAGATAACAGGCTAGAAAAACAAAGTGGGTTTTTCATTTCTTGTTTCTTGTTTCTTTTTTTCCTTTTTCTTTCTTTCTATTTTTTTTCCTGAGTTGGGTTATTTGATTTAGAATGCAGAGAAGTCATTACCCACTAGCTATCTGAGGATTCCGAGCAGAGTGAGCACGCGACACATGCAAGGTTCAGAGGAAGAGATGTGGATAGAATTGTTTTCTCACGCCATGCTTTCCTCAAGAGAAACAACAACAATTCCAGCAGTGCACCAGGTGTTCAGTGCAAGTAATGCCTAGAAGATGATTTGGAAGCTTGATAGGCACCAAGAATGGGTTAGGGCAGCTGAGTCACTGGTATGGGAAGAAAGACATTGGATCAATGACCTAGTAAATGGATGTTATGGGGAGTATCTGGGAGTTGTTTAAGAGCTTAGGTCGCTTAAAGCCCAATAAATTATAGCATCACTATCAAGGTTGTTTGCGATATTCAAGCCTCGTCCTATTAGGGGTTGGACTAATAGCAGCACCATTGACATGGTAACGAGCTCCATGGGAGCCAACAACAATAACTATGTTCTGGGTAGTGGAAACTTGCTATTAGATAATGCACCTTACCAAGTAAATGGAAGCCAATCAAGAGGTTCTCTTGCTATTGTTAGTGCACCAAAAATCCAGTCAAGGCTTTAAACCTTATTAAAACTTTCTTGTAGGCAAGCCATGCAGCTTTCTGTTTTCAATGACTTGTGTCTATCTCTATGAACTGAAAATCTTGTTTGCATAGATGTTGATTTTTCGTTTTCTATGGTTATAGAACAATGCAGTCAAAGGAATATTGTAAGGGAGATGAATGGTGCAACTTGGGGTGGAGGTTTATAGTTGCTTTTTTAACCTCTTTAAGTTTTTTATGACACCAACAGGAGTTTCCGATTAAGAGTTCTTTCATGGAAGGTCGTTACAACTTACAAAGAGGTTGAGTTAGACCAATTTCGTAGTTTTCTATCTATTCCTTGTAGATTGTTATGAAATTGTGTTATTTACCTTTTTGGGTCAAAGAAGATAGACATAAGATTTAGTTTTCCTAAAGCATTCATTAAGGAATCAGTGAGGAAACCATGAGACAAACTTTGTAGCAAGAAAAGGTTTTGGTTAAATATATATGCTTACTTTGTTAACGGACTTGGTCCAAAACCAATTAGAGAGCACCCATATATGGTTTTGAACCAACACAAACCCTCTTGGGTCTCTAAACTCTAAGGTAGAGGCCCAAACCCGACCCTATTATTAACTGGGCTCATGAGAGAAGAATTGATTATGTTTAGATTTGATCCCAACATAGGTCTCAATGGCCATTGCAGCCATACATCGAGATCATCTCCCTTGTCCTTCATGGTGAGACGAGATGTTTTCAATGCAATTGCTTGGGACCGAGGAGAAATCAATTATGCTTGATGGCATAGCCTTGAACTAAAACTATGGCATCATGACCTTTGATGTTTGCTTCGTCTTACCAAGGTGGGGCCATAGTAATACATCAAGCGGCCATGATCCACGGTTTTAGCACAAGGCTACACCAACTAGAGTGGTTGATATTTCTTGGTCCTAGGAGTGGGCAAAAAAAATTGAAAAACTGAACCAACCAAAATAAAACTGAAAAATCGGTTAACTGAACCAGTCAGTTCGATATTCTTAAAAAATTAAAAGTTCCGGTTCGGTTTTGGTTAACCTTTTAAAAAATAGGCGGTTAACCAAACTGACCAGTATATATATATATACAGTAATATATATTATAAGGTAAAATACAAAAGCCTCCCTTGAAGTTTTTGACAATCATAAAAACCTCCCCAAAGCTTCTTCACCCTCGGAAAAAACCCACAAGCACAACAAGAGAAAAAATAAGCTTAAGGGTTGGATCTTCAGATTCCTTGTCGATGTGACTGTTGGAATGGTATCGGGATTGATTGTGTCAGTATTGTTTAAATTACTACTCATTTGCATAAGAGGCAGGGTGAAAGACTCGGGCCTTGCTATTTTCAATCCACTGATCAAGAAGGCCGAAGATTTAGCATTCTTGGAAAAAGAAGATGGGCTTGCATCTCTGGAGATCATTGAACGAGGAAGATGTGGAGAGGTTTACAAGGCTGAATTGTTGGGAAGCAACTAGAAGATTATAACAATCAAGAAGATAATACAGCCTAACCCTATCGATGTAGTTGAACTAGCGGAGGAAGATAATATGCTTTTGACAAAGAAGATGTGGCAAATTCGTTCGGAAATCCAAACTATGGGTCGGATTCAACCCTGAAACTTGCTACCTCTACTAGCCCATGTGCCATAGCCAGATTGCCACTACCTGGTGTATGAATACATGAAGAACGGGAGCGCAAGACGTGTTGAATAAGGTATCAGAAGGGAAAAGAGAATTGGATTGGCTAGTGCGGCACAAGATTGCGCTAGGAGTGTCTGCCGGCCTTGAGTATCTCCATATGCACCACAACCCTCGTATAATTCACAAATATCTCAAGCCTGAAAACATACTTCTTGATGATGATATGGAGGCGCACATCGCTGATTTTGGGCTAGCGAAGGCAGTCCCAGAGATGAACACCCATGTCACAACCTCCAATGTGGCTGGGACTGTTGGATATATTGCACTTGAGTACCACCAAACGCTTAAATTTACAGACAGGTACGACAGTTACAACTTTGGCATCATTCTAGCTGTGTTGGTTTTGGGCAAGCTGCCTTCAGATGGATTCTTTTAGACTACATAAGAAATGAGCCTAGTCAAATGGCTCAAAAACCAAATGATTTTGGAGAACCCGAGTGCACCCATCAATCCCAAGTTGAAGGGGAATGGGCGTTATGTTGGAAACTACTTGGCTGTTTTTTATTTTTCTCTTATCTGTGTATGAATAGGAAAAATGATGTAGCATCCATTTGATTAGTATGAGCTTTGTTTGATGATCAAAGAGCTCCATGAATGTGAAGAAGAAGAAGAAGAAGAGAGAGAGAGAGAGAGATAGTATGTGAAACAAATCGACATCTATGAGAGCATGTTTGCTAGAGTAAGAAGAAAAGTTCCTAAAGAGAAAAGAGACCATAAAGAGGTTTGGGTCCTTAGGGAAAACCATAGGAGGTCACAGGGATCGATACTGTAGATCGGATTTCCACTTGAGGGCTATTCTAGTTGGAGGGATAGCTGCATTTGCAAAAGTGGCCGGTGCAATGAAGGATGCAGGTGGAGTAAAGTTCGGGGTTGTTGTTACTGCCATGTCAGCAGCAACAACTGCAACTATGGCAGAATCTAAACGGGAATTAAATGATGGTAGCAAGTAGCCTTAACGGTGTCATTGATGAAAGGGTAAAATGTAACTATAAATGTTTTCCGTCTTGGTCATTGACGGAAGTAAGGTATTTGTCGATTTTTTCAAAAATAGAAGGGAGGTTTTTGATAAAGTGAAACTATAGGGGAGGTTTTTATGATTGTTAGAAACTTCAGGGGAGGTTTTTGTATTTTACCCTATATTATTATATATTATATTTTTATTTTTTAAAATTGAATAAACTAGTAAAACCACCGCCTTTCCCCTTCTTCGACACCTAAACCTAATACTCTAATACCCTTTCTCACTCTCTCAGTCCCTCTTGTCTCTTCATCTTTCCCAATTCCCAATGGTTAACCAAACTTCCCCTTGCTTTCCTCCGATGCCGATCATCCTCCAACCGATGGCCTCTCCCCCAATGGCCAGTTTTCCTCTTGCTTCCCTGTGTGTGTCTCTCTCTCTCGCCTGTCATCTTCGTCTCCGTTGCACCAACCACCAAACAGCAATGCCGGTCGCCACCTCGCCAACAAGCACCAAGCCAAAGCTATTAGCCTTAGCCAGCCCCAGGTACAACAACCAAGACATTGGTCACCGCCCCGGCTCCGCCAGGACCGCCACCTCTTTGCCTCTCACTTCAGGTGACAACAACCACCAACCAGTCTAGCACTGGCAAATCATCGACCACCACTTTGTCCTTGCCCCTTTGTCATGTTTGTTCAGGTAATTCTTTTACTTTTTTGTATTTTTAGAATGAATGAATGTTTGTTGAACTAGGGATGCAAGAGGGAAGGTTTTTTCCCCTTTTTTTATTTTGAGTACTTAAAAAAAATGAAAAACCAAACCACAATTAACTTGTTGCATCAGTTCGGTTTTGGTTCAGATTTAAAAAAACTGACCAGGTCGGTTCATTTCAAAAAAACCTCACAATTCGATTAACCAAACTGTGAGCACCCCTCCTTGGTCCAAGCCAAACCTAGCCTCATTGTTGGCTTTTATTTACTAAATCTTTTTTTCAAAATTCAAAGTGGGTGTATAGAGGTAAAACCAGTCCCCATCCTATTATAGTGGGGACTCAAAGTGTAGACTAAGAACCAATCCAATAGATAATTGGGATTCAAAATGCAAGCTAGGCCTTGTGTAATAGGGCTTGATAGCTTGGGTTTTACCCATTGACAACCTTATAATAATGACGTTCTACTTGCAAAAGAAAAAAAATCTCAAGTGGAGAACTAGTAGTTATTGCAGTATTCCATTAGGTTCTCAACTCAAACAAGCTTGCCCTTAATAGCTCGGCCTGGCTGATCTCCAGTCACGGTTCACTGACTTGAGCGCCAAAGTGCAAGAGGGCAAGAAGGCTAGAGAGAGAGAATAAAGAGCCTAAAGAAAACCATACCTTGGGAGATGCCTTTATATAACCATGTACTCATTGTTTATTGGGTTATGTTATGTGTCTTGCGCTTCGTTTTCTAGAGAGGTCGAGGTCTGTGATTTCCAGGGGTTCTGTATTCTTCGGTGTAGGGAAAATTAGAGCTTATGCATTCGGGGTCTTTGTGAGACAACATGATATCCTAACTTAGAGCTATTGATGTGGCTGAGGTCGTTGGGTAAGGCTTATTTGCATTGGCTTCCATGTGGAGAGCACTAATGGCTAGGATATGACCCCAACAACCAATTCTAAAGTCAAAGAAGAAGTCTTTGGCCAAAGTTTGGGAGGCCAAGTTCTTCTAGTGTTTTCTTATGGAACTCTTGTTAGAATCCTAAGTGTTAGTTGAGCCATGTGGGTAGTGGTCAAAGCATGGTGTAAGCATTTGGACCCGAGTGTGCAATTGCATCATTTCATCTTATTGAGCTTATGCATGTAGGTGAGCCTTGGGATTTGATCTGGATCATCGATTTGCCTTGATCTGATCATTGGTTGCCACTATATAAAGCAAGGGGGGGGGACCATTTTACTTTGTCATTTGAGCGAGAGCAATTTGGGGAGCTTGGCTATGGTCTTCGTCCTTAGTGAGGTATGTCTTCATCCTCATCTCCTTCTTTTGAGTATTCTTCTAGCTATTCAAGGACTATTAAGCCCAACTCAGGTAGTAAGTGGAGTGGGGGCACGACATCACAAGGAGAGGCTGCTAATGTGAGGGTCCTTGAGACTAATGCCAATAAGGCCGAAGTTGAGGTGGATGTTATGGGCATGGACTCTGAGGAGGAGGTTTGCGTGGTAGGCGGTTTCCTTATAGGAAATCCCGAGGTCTAAGGTGAGGATGACCAAGCTGAGGTTGAAGCGAATGAGGAATCCAATAGGGCTAGGATGGATAGGCAAGACACTACCTGTAGCCTTCTAGGCCTTGGCAATGTCCCATGTTGTTTGACTGGTGCCGATATGGACCGTATCTGAAGTACCTATTTGATCTTTGACGAGTTTAGGTTAAGGTGTCCAAGGAGCGGGAGCATGCAGATGAGCCTAGAGAGGGTAAACTGTGCGTGTACAATCATAGCTTGGAGGCTAGGCTCAGTTCCCAATGGATGAGGGGTTAGTGCAGATATTAACAAAACACCAAGTATTGCTCGTCCAGCTAGTGCCAAACTCCTTTAGATACTTGATAGGTCTCTTGTGCTTTTGCACATTGCATAGGCACACCAATGATTTTCCTCTTCTACACCCTTCTTTACTTGAAGAAGCTCGGATAGCCAGGATTTTATTACTTCTTGGGTCAACAAAACCTAAAGATCTTAGTCGATGCCCCTTCACCTATGGCTGAGGACCCTTGTGACCAAGGTGAAAGTGCTTCCCACTAAGTGTTTGACTGATGAGGAGAGGGAAGCGTTGGGTAAAATGTCCAGCCATCGGATCAACGTGATGGAGTACACATCTGAGGCTTAACTGATTAGTGTCGAACTGTGCCCAACTTAGTTGGGCAATGGTGTTGTACTGCTGTCTTGTTCTTCTTTTTGAGTACTGATCAAACACTCCTCTTGTAAATCTAGAGATGTCACCATTAGGTCAATAGAAGTCAATTGAGGAGTTGGAGAAGGAGGTGGCTCACCTAAAATGTCTCTAGAATGCCCAGAGAAGGAAGATGATAACCTCTAACTCCAAGGGCGCCATCGCGGTCACCCCTGCAAGGAGGTGATTGAGGTTGATTCGGATGCAGAGAGGCAATCAAGACCTCCTCGTCCTGCACCACCCCTGAGGCCTCAGGCTCATGAGGGTGAGGACTCATTCTATTAATGGAATTAGATGGTCTAGCCCACCGACACCCTCGAGAGTGAGGGAGTATGCAAGGAGATCGACCAAGGGATACTACTTCTTAAGGTAGACAAGGATCTATGGAAGTAGATGAACATTGCAGTCTACAACGCGTCCATTAAGTTCACCATCCACTTCATCTGACTTATTACATTTTGATAGGGTGCCTACTCCCTCGTCCACCTCATCAATTGAAAGTGTGGCAATTCTTAGTTCATGGAGACTTTGGAGGGGAAGACGGAAAGCTGTTAGGTCTGCCTTGAATGAGGAGAGGATGAAGGTAAATGATGAGGAGAAGAAGATCCACACCTTAGAGAAGGAGCAATCAGAAGTTAGGGCTGTTGCATATTCAAATGAGAATTCATTGCCAATGATGCTCGACATTGGGACACCAAGTAGGCTAGGCATTAGGCAGTTGAGGAGTTCTGTGCTTTGACCCAGTATGAGAAAGAGTTAGATGACTTCGCCATCGACTCCTACATCTTCTTATTTGAGCATTGCTAGAAGAAGATGGCAGAGATGTTTCCCAAGGTGGCCGAGGCTGTCCTTGGACTTCAGTCTCTTGTGCAACAAAAGGCTTCAGCCTCCCAAACGGACCAGGCCAAGGAAGGAGCAATGAAGCAATCTGAGGATGGTGAGCAAGCTATGTCGAATGCCCCTCCCTGCGGGTCAGTGACTCAAACGCCATTGGTTCCTTTAGTCATTTTTTTCTTTTTGGCTTGTATGGCTTGTCGTGATGGGCAAGAACACTTCTTTTTGTTTCTTCTTCTCTTGATTTGTATGGCTTGGTGAGCCAAGCTAAAATGACTTGTAAACATTTTCAAGGGTGAATGGAATGTGATTATATTTTTATTTTGGCTCACTTTTTTCCCCTTTTTTGTTTTTTTGAAGAATATACTTATGCTAGGAGTAGGAGATCAATACCACACCTTTGTTTGTTACCTAATTCGTCAATGTAGAGTGTCCATACTAGAGGCTCTTTGGCTGGATCAAGGGCTAAGAAGGTGCATTCGACAATGAAGTCGGCTAGAGTCTGAGCTTTGATGGTGAACCGAGGAGCATAGTTAAGGTCAGATTCGTTGAGTTCTATGTTTGATCTTATCATGTGACTTGATGTCTTGTTTCTGTAGCACTTGCCTGAGAGGCTGATCTGTGAGTAAGTGAATATTGTGGGCTTAGAAGTATGACCGAAGCTTACAAGATGAAGTTACGAGAGCTAGGGTGACCTTCTCCAAGTTTGGGTATCTAGTCTCCGCGTCGGCAAGCACCTTTCTAGTGTAGTAGATGGGCCTCTGTGTTCTGTCATCTTCTTTCATTTAGACTGAGCTGACCACCTCGTAACCGACAAAGAAGTATAATAGTAACTAGTCTCCTAAGTTTGGCTTCGTCAATAGGGTGGCGAGCTTAGGTATTGCTTCAACAGTTGGAAGGCTTGCTTACACTCTTCAGTCCATTGAAAGTCTTTCACTTGTTTTAGGGCCTCGAAGAATGGGAGGCAATGGTCTGCAAACTTTGACGTGACTCTGCTAAGCGCAACAATCCGCCATGCATGTGAGGTATTGTACTTCTTTGTGTGCCTATAGAGACTGCATATCTAGGATGGCTTGGATTTTCTCTGGATTGGCTTTATTGCCTCTTTGAGTCACCATGAACCCTAGAAACATGCTTGAATTGATGCCGAAGGAACACTTTATTGGATTTAGTTTCATCTTGTACTGCATGAGGAGGCTGAAGATTACTTTGAGACCGACTAGGTGTTGCTCGGCCTTTTTGCTCTTCATTAGCATGCCATCAATACGCTTCCACATTTTGATCGAGTTACTCTTTGAAGATGTGTTTCACTAGCCTTTGTAAGGTAGCACTAGCGTTTTTGAGTTCGATGGGCATGACTTTGTAGCAATAGAGGCCTCAGTCAGTGATGAAAACAATCTTTTCTTGGTCTTTAGGGTGCATCTTTATTTGCATATATCCTGAAAATGTGTCCATGAAGCTAAAGAGCTCATGATCTATCGTTGCATCGATGAATTGATCTATCATCGACAGGGTAAACTATCCTTAGGGCAAGCTCAATTGAGGTTGGTGAAGTTGATGCAAATTCTCCACTTCCCATTTTCTTTCTTCACCATCACTATGCTTGTGAGCTAGCCTGAGTACGACACTTCCCTAATAAAAGCCGCATCAAGGAATTTGTTCACCTTCTCACTTATCACCTACCACCATTTAGGGGCAAAGCTCATCTTCTTCTATCGTATAGGTTAGTAGTGGGGTTCAATCCCCGTCATGTTTGCTACATACAAGGAAAAAATGTCAACATCAGCTTTTAGAAACCGAACGATATTGTCCCAAAGATCATCCCCAAGTAGGTAGCCCACCTAGATAGTCTCTCTGAATCACCGCCAAAGAGAGGTACCTGTGTTAGGCCTTTCAAACCAAGAATACCTATAGCCAAACTACCTTCTTCCATCTCCCTCCTTTTTTTTCCATTCCCATCTCCTAATCAAAATCCTAGCCTCCACCATTCCGTCATGTAAACTCAAACAAAAAAAAAGAAAAGAAAAAGCCTAGGAGAGACCTTGGTAGATTTTGACCAAAGGAGAAGTAAGGAAAGAAAAATGATGGAAGAAGAGAAAAATTTGGCCCATGAACTCTAGGGTCTAATCGGTTCAAGGAAGAAGTAACAAAGAATAAAAAAGGGAACTCGAGCCAACCACTCCACCTATTCGGTTCAAGAAAGGCATCATCCAAGGAGGGATTGTAAACCATTTTAGCACCATCATCTCCAATTGAGGTTGTCATCATCCTACACCATTCTTGATCCAAGGCCACAAAAGGGGTGTGTTGCTCACCCAATTTATTTGGTTAATCATAGTATTTTGTTTTCTTGAATCTTATTAGTGTTCTAATGTTCTCCCAATGTGCAATTTTGAGATTGGTCCCATTATAGTTAAGTATAGGAAACATGTTGAAATAGCTTATTGTAAAGGTTGGATGAATATTATACGTCTTCATTAGTGTTTCTTGAACCTAATGTGAGTTAATATCTTGATCCATGTTTTAAAAACCAACCCGACGGCCGAACTGTTTTTGCCTCTGGGTTGTGGGTCACTAGTTTGACCATCCGGTAGGGGTGCAAATGGATCAGATCATGATTCGATCTGATATGTATTATATATTTATTAAATATAAATATATAATACATATATACATGTTATTTATTTATTTATAAATTTGTTATATTATTTATTTTTTATAGAAAACATGTATATATATGATGATAATAATTAAAAAGTACTTGTATTTTTTGTTTTTACTTTATTAAATTAGTATATTTTATTTTTCTTTTAATAATTTATTAATTTTTAAAGAAAACAAGTTGGATCGGATCAGATTCGAAGATCCAACTTACCGATAGGATTCAAAATCAAATTGAGTCCTATCAGATCCGATTGGATTCAAATATACCTTGATTCCAATCTGATCAGATCTATTTGCATCCCTACCAACCGGGTTGAATGGTTCAGACCGTGCCACATCAGCGTGTATATACACACACACACACACACACACACACACATATTTATATACATACACACATATTTATATACATATATATGTATTATATGTTTTAGATATGTTATATGTATTATAATTAATATATGCTTTTAATTCAGTTTTTAATTTTTTATTTATAAAAAATATAAAAATTGCAATTTGAGGCCAAAAGAGGGTTTTTTTTGCCAAAATATCGGGGCAAGGTGCCTATAGTGCCTTGGAACGCATAGATTTCAAAAAGTTACCCAAAATAAAAAAATCACCCCAACCAAACATCAGAGTAGAAAGTTATGGCCGCCAAAAGTTTGCATGTATTTAGTGTGCAACCTACGACTCGGTCACTGGGCCGAATGGGTCAACGATTGAACTGAATAGGTTAAATGGGTCAACAGTCGAGTCAGATTGAACGGTTCTTAACCAAGTCAATGGTTTTGACCATCTGATAGGTCTAGATTGAATCGGACCCAAAATCCTAGCCTAGTGATGGTTTGAGCGGTTTGACTGGCCGAGTCAATGACGGGTTGAAAACATTGATCTTGATGATATTGAAGTATAGAATCATGTAAGGTCGAATTTTCTCTAGGTTTTTTCGTCATCTTTTAGTTTGTCTAATTACATAGAATGGTGTAGGAATGTATGGAATGATTCCATGATTTGTTGAGGGAATTGGATAGGATTCTGTCTTTAGTAGTTTTTTTACTTAATCTAAATTGTTATCATTAGTGAAACCTATCTATTTTAATGTGCTGTTTAAATTTGTTTTGCTCTTGTTAAGTAAATCATGCATGTTTGAATCATTTGGTTTGGGTGTTAGAGGACATGTTCAATCAATGTTTTGAATCCGTCGTTGACCCAACCAATCAAATCATTTGAATCGTCACTTGACTAAGATTCCAGGTCCGATTCAGTCAAGACCCGTCAAACGGTCAAAAACCATTCACTTGGTCAAGAACCGTTCGACCCGACAAACTACAAACATTATCACTTCTATTTTTCTAACTATATTCCTCAGAATTAATTTTCAGTAAAGAATTTTAAGTTTATTTATTGAAGAATGAAGATGCATTTTGTATAATTCTTACTGAATATGCATATTTGTGTTCTGTAATGGGTAAAAGACTTCCAATTTCATTTAAGTTATTCCTGGGGTGGAACTGATCAAACCAAAGGTTTGGTTTGGAGAGGTAGAAGGCCTGTAATTTCTATTAATTTTCTCCATTTTTTTGGTGCTTTTGTATAATTTATGTTGCATTCATATATTTTTGTATTTTACTATAATTTCTGTTTTTTTTGCAACTTTTATACATTTTTAAGCAATTTATTTTAATTTATATTTTTTATGTAATTCATGATAAATTTCTTCTTTTTATGTTTTTTATTTTTCTTGTAATTTTTACTTTTCTACGTTTTTGTGTAATTTTTGTTATTTTATCTAAACAGGCTGGATTGGGTCAAATCGGATTTGGATTGAACCAAATTCATTTAATTTTATTTAAATGGGTCATTAATGGGTTGACAGATGAGATGGGTTGGGTTGAAGTTCAACCCAAAAGCTACCCAAGCCTGCCCGATTGCCACCCCTACAACCAATTATGTATAACATATGTTTATTTTCCTCTATTGCCAATGACCCAGTAGTTGAGGTGGTTCCTAATATGAATTTACAAGATCAAACATGCATAATTGCAGGTTTTCCATGGTAAGTTTAATGGACCTTATATACACCCTGACCCCCTTAATCCTTGTGTAGTATATGGGTGCATGTGGAATGACTCCAGATCTCTTGCCCATGAGAATTCTATCCACACCTATCCACAATACACTATTCCTCGTGAATTGAGAACATCTCCCCTGCATAATACTATACAGAGGATGAGATGTTCT